GAATAAATTTTAAGTGTCTGTTGTATCAGGCTGTTAATATGTATCTTGTACTTACTTATTCATCCTTTTTTTTGTATCGAGCTTTCTTTCAATGTGTTTACTGAGTGCCTTGTTAGTGTGTGTTGGTGACATTCACTTTTTCGTTTAATCTGCTTTTTAATTTGTCTTTTCAATAAAATTGTACTGTATTTTTTTGTGTAGCCCTGGTTGGTGGTAAGAGCAGCTGCATAGCTGATACCCGCCAGGTAAAATAAAGGCCTATTATTATTATTATTATTATTATCATTATTATTGTTATTATTATTATTGTTATTATTATTATTATTATTATTAGTCGGATCTTTTCACGTGTGGTCTCATTCTGTAGGTCTCATAAATACCTAAAAATCTTACCTACAAAGTTTTTTCGATTGAATCCTAAAAACACGATTTCCCATTCTTTGTTGTCAAATAAAAAGTTTTCCCACAAAAATTGGTGTAACCATTTTATGTATCCATGTTTAAAATGCGCCGTTGAACAACTTGCACCAATAAAACCGGACTTTGCAATTATTTCGGGGAAATTTGCTATGATTAGACTATATGTTAGATGAACGCCTACATTGGAAATATACATTTATGAGATTTGCTTAGCGGTGCGCATGTAGCCTGTCCAGAAAATGCGTCGATCGATGCTCAAAGTCAATACCACACGTCCCGCATTTCTTCCCGCGTATATTTCTATTTATGTTGCTATATTGGAATCCGTTTAAGTCACAGAGCTCCTACACTACACGTGAATATGTACAGCCATGTATTCCTGTTCTTGTTTCGTACAAACATAGACACGTTATCAAAATAATTACTATCTAACATATATTGGTTTTTCCAAAGATGTCCAACATTTTTATATGCGATCAACACTGATTCGAAAACTGAGAAACCAACAACTATGCCGTAAATCTAAGTTCGACAACGAAAGTATGAAGAATAACTGTTACATCTATATTGAATTTCCAAAAATGACTGACTATACCTATTGATATTTTTATCACCTGTTGATATACTAAGTGACATATAAATCCGAACACCCAGTTTAAATGGTTTTATTTTAATAAAATTTTGTATAAGTACTTAATGAAGCATAATAAGTAAATGATAAAAATTTCAAAATGATTGCACTGCTTTAAAGCCCTTTGACCTTTAATAATGTGTGGATGCACCCTGATGTGCTACGCATTCTCCAACGCGCCTAGGCATGCTTCTGATCAGGTGGTCAATGTCCTCCTGTGGTATCTCATTCCAGGCAACCACCAACTCCTCTCGAAGTGCTTCTAGAGTCTGAGGAGGACGTTGCAAATTGAGCAATCTCCTACCCATCATATCCCACACGTGCTCAATTGAGGATAAGTCGGGAGATCTTGGTGGCCATGGTAACAATGTGACATCATTATGTTGAAAGAAGTCTATTGTGACTCTTGCAACATGTGGTCGGGTATTATCTTGTTGGAAAGTTGGATCTGCCAGGGTGTCAAGATAGGGTAAAAGATGGGGTTCTAGAACTTCGTGGATATAACGCTGCGCGTTCATGTTACCTCTGATGAAATTAAAGGTGACCTCGAACCATAAACTATAGCACCCCAAACCATAACTCCAACAGTGTGATGAACATGTCTTTCAACAAAAAACTGTGGATTCCTCCTTTCACCACGTCGCCTTCTAACCCTGGCACGACCATCGTGCATGCCTAAACAAAATCGAGACTCGTCACTAAAGACAATACTGTTCCATTCCTGATCCCAGAGTGACCGTTGTCTGCACCACTCAAGGCGATTACGTCGGTGTTCTCGAGTTAAAGGGAGGGCCCAGTGTGGCCGGTATGAAAACAAGCCAAAACTTCTCATTCGTCGGTAAACACTTCGCATGCCAATAGGTCTTCCGTGTTCTGCAAACCATTTATTTGCAATGGACCTGGTAGTTGAGAAACGGTCCCTTAAGGCCAATAGTCTTAGGCGGCGATCTTCACGGTCTGTTGTTCTACGGCGGCGTCCAGTGCCCCTTGCTCTTTGCGTACGGCCTTCTCGAAGCCATGCCTGACAACACCTAACCACAGTGTCTACACTTCTTTGTACTCTAACTGCAATTGCCCGAAAAGAAAGTCCAGCTTCCCGAAGTTCCACTATACGGCCCCTATCAAACTCACTAAGTTGACGAAATCGTACAGGTTTCCGTACTCTAGGCATCTTAACCGATCGTAAAGGATGTCAAGAACCAAAATCCGCCAACGTTGATTCTTTACTGCGGCTAAAATATTCATTTTTAGAGCGTTAGTGAATTAAAAAAAATCAGTATAAAAACCGGAATGTCCAACTGATAACGCTGAAAATTTTTTCACTTGTTATTTACAGTAAGATAAATACATTCACCAACTTTTATTAAAATAAAACCATTTAAACTGGGTGTTCGGATTTATATGTCACTTAGTATATAATAGAGGTGTTCGATTGTGTCAGTATTTACACCAATTACTTGATTTGTTTAACGGGTAGTTCAGAGTATTACTCCTTAAGCTCAGTACACACTAGTAGACTCCGTTGCGCAATTTGTCTATAGGAAGTCTGGAGACGGCCTCAAGACACGATCTATAGATGGTCTATAGACATACTTCTTTGTCTCGTCTAGCGTCGATACAATAATGTGAATTTTTCGGCCTCATGTTCGTTTTCGCCATCAAATACATTTTTTTGTGTGGAATGGCCGGGATGTGTCTCGGGGCCCCTCAAAATGTCTTTTTTGATTAACAGAGCAATGAGGTTTTTTATGTTTTAATCTTTAATATTATTACACTAGTTGATTATAATTGCCACGTAATTCTTTTGTTCTCATATAGTAAAATATTTGCCTTTCCGAGGATTTCTGAGCACTTTCCATATTTTTTTTTTCAAGTTGGCATTGAACAGATAGAACACAATGGATTTAAGGAGCAATAATAGGATAAATTCTAGAAGTTCCACTGAGGTAGAAAAATTATCAATCCCAAATATCGTTCCCCCCCTAGACGAAGTCCTGCATTCGTCCTTATCAAGAGTGTATTAACTTGGTCTGACTGTATACTTTGATCGCGACGAATTATGGCGTTTATTCGTGCTTTTACAGTCCTCGAACAAATTGCATAGAACACCCGGATCCTTTTGATTTTAATTAGTCTATTGTTTGTTGGAGAGCGTTCATAAATCATTGTCGTTCTATCTCGTCGACGATTTTATTTCTGTTTGTACAACCGATAAGCAATGTTTGATGAAATCGCTTGCATTGTAGTCACAATAGTCACAGAATACTACAAGAGATGAAACCTGTCAAAAATCGGATACGTTAAATTTGGCATGAATTCTAATAAACGAGTGCAAGCTTGTACTGAAGATGGATCACATGTCACATGTTCCCCTGACTCTCTCCCAAGCCCGGCGATTCCAAGGTTGTCAGATCGAACGCCACGTTGCCAGTCTCATTTCCAGACCTCGTATATTACTATAAGTAAAGTCTAACACACGGAGTATGTGCGGAAAGTGAAAATAAGATATAACAATAAATCAATAAGACGTAACAATAAATGAATAAGCAATTACTGGTCATTAACAAATTAAATGAAAATCAATTGAGTAGATAGTCGTCTAACCGTGATGGTGTCTTAGTGTCGAATTTTCGCCTCAAAATTGCTCATATTCATCACTTCCAAAAAATCCCCGCACTTGAAAGTATACTAAGTGACATATAAATCCGAACACCCAGTTTAAATGGTTTTATTTTAATAAAATTTTGTATAAGTACTTAATGAAGCATAATAAGTAAATGATAAAAATTTCAAAATGATTGCACTGCTTTAAAGCCCTTTGACCTTTAATAATGTGTGGATGTACCCTGATGTGCTACGCATTCTCCAACGCGCCTAGGCATGCTTCTGATCAGGTGGTCAATGTCCTCCTGTGGTATCTCATTCCAGGCAACCACCAACTCCTCTCGAAGTGCTTCTAGAGTCTGAGGAGGACGTTGCAAATTGAGCAATCTCCTACCCATCATATCACGTGCTCAATTGGGGATAAGTCGGGAGATCTTGGTGGCCATGGTAACAATGTGACATCATTATGTTGAAAGAAGTCTATTGTGACTCTTGCAACATGTGGTCGGGCATTATCTTGTTGGAAAGTTGGATCTTCCAGGGTGTCAAAATAGGGTAAAAGATGGGGTTCTAGAACTTCGTGGATATAACGCTGCGCGTGATTTCCCGTAATGCTTCTGAAAGTTTTTGAATATGCAAAAACACGGCGAAAATAGTAATTTATAAGTTTGCACATAACCGTGAGAAAGGGCAACACAAATCACCCGTCTCGTACAGCTTATAGATATACTTGATGGGTGGTAGGGTTTTGCATGGAAGAGCAACCGTGTTAAATGCCGCTTCTCTCATCAAATGAGTTTTTTTTTTTGTTGTTTTTTTAACTAAAAAATAGACACGTTATTATTAAGTATAATTATTCAGTAATACAAGTAATTTTCTCATATAGCAAATATCACTGATTTTATACTCATGCAGAGCAATACACACAATCATCCAGATCGGATCTGGCTACACAACCAAATTTGAATTTTCTGTCACATCCTCTCAGAGATATACTCTACAGACTATCTCGGCATTATGTAACCAACAACGCATGCTGGGTCATTGAGCGTGTCGTTGAATCATTCCTCCATAGATGACGCTTTTGGTGACGCTCATAGCGAGGAACCGCGGAAAGAACTATTTGCAGACTAGGAACGTGCCAGGAACTATTTTGTCAGCAAGTTGACATTTTGTCGTTTTTTTTTGCCAATATATAAGGTTTTTACGTAATAACCCTGCCGGCGTCTATAATTAGTTAATTAAAAATAACGACATATAAAAAATGTTTTGCACAAAATTAACTAGAATAATTATTAATTAATTAGGCGATACTGTCCACTGTCACAGTAAATAACAATATATAATGATTTCAGGTAGTCACTTTATTCAAGAGAATGACAACGTTCAGGTATTTAAATTCAGCAAAATTAAAGCGACCTGTTGCTACTTCTTTCACAGTGCACGCAAAGATTCATCAAACACTCTCATTGTACACTGTTCGTTCGTATATCTTCAAATTAACGCTTTGTTTTTATGATTATGATAACTGTAAAGATGTTTATTGGAATAATAATGCACGTTAAACGATATTTCACATATTTATCTAGTTGAGCACCGCTTCATCTTATCATCGTGTGATCAATTATATCGTTATTTGTTATCTACACTACCGTTGCTTTATTAAATTTTTCAGTAAATGTAAATTTAAACATGTTCCCGGCACATATTACATATATGCAGCTTGTTTTTTAAATTTTCTCATGGAAGGGGGGGGGCGATTATCGGCGCGAGAAAACTTTTTGTAAAAGTGTACAGGGTTTGTCCGGAAAGTAATAGGACTGAGTCGATTTAAAAAAAGTTATTGAGTCAATCGTTACAATTCTTGAAAAACTTTCAAAATAGGTTCCTTCTGCGCCGATGAAGCGCTGCCAGCGCGATTTCCAAGCATTATAGGCGTCACGGAAAGCATTCTCCGGAATAGCCTTGAGAGCCGCGGTGCATGCTGCTTGGATCCCCTCTGTCGTCTCAAAATGCTTGCCTTTCATCGGCCTTTTCAGGCGAGGAAACAAAAAAAGTCCGGGGGACACATCTGGGCTCTAGGGCGGCTGCGGAAGGGTTGGGATGCCGGCCTTGGTCAGGTCTCCTGAGCACTTCCACGTAAAACTTGTGGCGTGGACGGTTTATCCAGGAGGAACAAATTCATAGTGGACGATGCCTTTGATGTCAACAAAGACAATGAGCATCGTTTTCACTTTGGATTTGTCGTGTGCCACTCGGAAGATTGCCTCTTTGTCTCGGGATCATACTCAAAGATCCACGACTCGTCACCTGTGATTACGTTATTCAAAAATTGGGGGTCACTTTCACACATGTTCAAATTTTCTTGGCACACTTCCACTCGCCGCAATTCCTGGTCGTCAGTGAGCACTTTTGGGACCATCTTCGCGCACACCTTGCGCAAATTCAAATGCTGTGTCACAATGTCATGAACCACAGATTTTGGTAAATTTAACATCTGGGCAATTAAACGAATACTTAGTCGACGGTCTGAGTTCAAAACTTTGCGCACACGAGTCACATTATCGGTGTTTGTCGAAGTCGAAGGTCTTCCAGCACGGTCTTCATCAGCGACCTCTTGCCGGCCTTCCAAAAAGGCATGGTGCCACCGAAACACACCACTTCTTGCTAAAGCAACACCTGGGTAAGCCTGCTTGATCATATCAAACGTCTCTGTCGCAGATTTACCGAGTTTCACTCGCGTACCTCTGCTCTAACGAACGCTGCATTTTCGGCTTGCACCACTCACAAAAACACGTCGCGCAAAAATGCCTGTCCTGATTCTCCAAGTGCTCGGAGACAACTGACCAGTCGCTCATTCGTTAGCTAGGAACGCCCTGTACCGAATCCAGTCGGTACGCGCACGCTCCGAAGTACAGTCATGGCGGAAGAAAATGAGTCCTATTACTTTCCGGACAAACCCTGTACCTGCCCCAAAAACTTTGTGGTGAACGGGGGGTAGCAAATTTTCTCAGGGAAGCAAATCCCAAGACTTGTGTATAAAACCATGCTAAGACAAGCCAAGACGATATAAAAAACTATCGGATATTTCGATACGCGTGTTTGTTCCCATCTCTATCAGACTGTCTCAGCGGCTCATGTCTGACTGAAGTAGTAGTATGTAGTTCGCGAACGAACTGGTTCAATCGAACGAGTCTTATGATTGAACTAAGTGAACTGGTTCATTCCTTGAAACCATTGAAGGCCAAAATACTTCTTGTTTCCTGGGTGTCACCCAACCCTTATTGCATACGTGGCAATACTACCGTCCCTACTAAACTGTGTCTCAATGCACGTTAAAGACGACAATGATTCGCCATTGGCAAAAACGTCGAGCGAAAAATTCCTGATACTTTCCCATAAATAACAATAAAGTAATTATTAGTATTTGCATATCTAGTTTACCTTACTGTTCTTTAAAACCCTATGTTTTCTTTGTAGGTAAGTGTTGATTTTTCGGTACTGACTGTCCTAAAACAGACGTCTAAATCACAGCCTTTTAAAGGACGCCGACGTCAATAAAGACGTAATAATGACGTCATTTTGGCGTCATCATATTCACTGGGTCCATCCCTAGGGTTGTCTAGGTCTGTATTATTTCCAAACTGGTGAAATCAAAAACAAAAGTTTACGTTACTTGAAATTGATTCATAGCCACATCTACGTCAACGACAGTTTACGTCGAGTATTTGGATTTGAAACCTCCGTCTCAATAAAACAAATGAAAAACCAACAAATCAAGCATATGAGGTGTTCCGAAGCGGTCACCCATCCAAATACTAACACTCTGCTTAAAACACTTTGTTCGCGAACTAGTTCCTCATTTTAGTGAGGGTGACCTAATGAACTAGTTCACCGAAATGAACTAGAAACCACATTACTACTTACTACTACTATTGTTAGTCAGTAACATACTACTATAATTCTAATATTTTACATTTCATTCCAGCCTGTAGGCAGCAGCCGCATCCCAACATTCGGTTCCCGCTTGCCGCAACCTTCGTCATCCGCCGTCACTGCCATTCCCACCAGCCGCATAGCAGTACCCGGCACTGCCGTCGCCAGTGGTGCCATCTCTCGAAGTCCGACACAACCTACGGCGCCACCTATCCGTCGTACAGTGAGGAACGTCGCGTCTTCGCGTCCGCGATCACCGCAGCCGCTGAGTCGACAGGGATCGGCTGCGTCGTTGAAAGGTAAGTTAGTTCAGCCGTTCCATAGTAGATGCCGCTACAGATATTTGTGTTCAGCGGTCAATACATAACAGGAACTATAATCTATTAAATCATTACAGGCTGGATAGTAGATGGTAGATGTGGTCTACAGGCCGTTGAACAACTACATGTTCGTTCCATCAGTCCGGTTAAAAACAGCCAACCATGGATAGCTGTTTCGTGGTTTTTGCCAACTCATCAGCATGGATACACTTTGTTTCTGGGGTATCGAATAAAAGCGTAGAAACTTAATGGCGAATAAGACCACATCTACACTAAGAAAAAAATTAATCAAACCAATTTAAATTTTAATTAGGCCAGTTAAACATTTTAATTAACTATGTGTCAGCTCAGCGTCGCCAACCCCATCCGAGAGAAAAACTGTATATGAGCTTAAAAAAAACTGTAGATAACCGTAGAATATTAATTAAAAAACTAAATCTCCTTCAATTTACAGTATTTTTCACGAGTATCTATCGCGCACCAAGGTCAAAAAGTGACGGTTTTGCATTGCTTTAGCAAATTGATTTTGAGCGGTTGTGGCTCTGGTTGGCCTTGACTGACATAAAAATGACAGAATATCCATTCAAATATTTCCAAATTCATTCAAGGCCCACCAGAACCACAACCGCTCAAAAAGAGTTTGCTTTTTGCATGCATAATCAGCTGTCATTTTTTGACATTGTTCCGCGATAGATACTCGTGAAAAATAGTATATTGCAGTTCAAGCACAACCGCTGCAAAAATAATTTCATTCAAAGCAGATTTTCTTAAGGGTAGGTCAGAAATAAAACCAGTGTTGCCAGGTATAGTCGATTTGTTTTCCGTAAGCTTGTGCGAATTTTTTCGGTCATTTTGGTAGACCTTGAAGCAACAGCATTTAAAGAGCACAGGCAAGCAACTCTATTCTTGTGTTTCATTAAATTATGTCAGAAATATATTATTTAAAAATTTCATAAATGTTTTCTTACATTTCTCATTAAAATCGTTAGTTCGATAGAATACAACTAAGTTAGTAGATCTACCGAAAAATCGGTAGACCTGGTAACACTGAATAAAATACACTATTATATCTCGAATAGGATTTATTTTGACTACAGATTTGAAGGCCCGAACTGAAAAACTTGGAAGATTTTTGAAAAAATGTAAATCTGCAGTTAAAGCTATAGGGTTAGCAACCCTGTGTCAGCTACTAGATTTAATTAGTTTAATTAAACTCCGATTTCTAAAATAGTTCACTTGAATTAATGAATCTAGCTTAATCAGACCAAAACGCAATTGATTAAATTTAATAAACCGTTTACTTAGACTGATTACACCAATTTATTAAAAATTAGTGAACTATTAAAATGAGTTTATTCCAAGTAAAACAATTTAATTATACAGGGTGGCCCATCCATGTGAGGACGGAATATTACTCATAAACAAATACATTTTGGGAAAATCTACTTATGGGATGTTATACATGACATTAGAGGGCACATTTCTAAAATATTGGCCATTATACAGGGTATTGGAATTTCGACCTACATATCAAAGTTATGATTTTTCAAATGGAATGCCTCAAATTTTATTGCAGATTTGGATAAACCAATTCAAAAGAAGAAAATTGATATAACATACTATTGGGTTTTGGTGATTAGCTACTGAGATATAAGGTGTTTTGTCTATGAGGCAACTTTTAACAGCATAGGTGGTGTCAACAGGCATAACATGCACTAGTATTCAGCGGAAAACCCTTACTGGCTTAGGCAAATAGATTTCCAAAATAAATGGAGCTTGAATGTTCAGGGAGGAGTTATTGAATTTATTTGGAGTTATTTATTTGAATTTTTTGATGGAGCATTTGCCTTTGCTTCTGGAGGATGTCAACCTGTAAACTGGGATGCGTACCTGCGCATTATCATAATCGTGTGCGTAACTATTTGGATACCTGTAATAACAATCGTTGGATCGGTCGTGATGGGCCTATATCTTGGCCTCCCAGACCACCAGATATGACACCGATGGACTTTCTATGGGGCTACGTTAAGCAAGAGGTTTATAGATATCCACCATCTACCCCGGAAATTATGAAGGAAAGGATTAAGAATGCTTTTCTAAACATAAGGGAACACATGCTGAGGGATGTGCAACGGTCATTTATCCAAAGACTACGGCTGTGTATTCAACATGGTGGAGATATTTTCGAGCAGTTTTTGTAGATTAGGTCTTGAGTAGTGACAGTTGTTTGTTTACGTTTTTTTTTTATACTCCAACTACCACGAAGGCCTAAGGCCTAAACACCCATTGGGTACCGTGAGGTTATAGGGGGATACAGGGGAAAGGAGGAACGCCACACGTACTCTGGCGAGGGAACACGTGTGCATGCAACATACACACATTCAGGCTCCGCCTATGAGATCCGCCGGGTGGTACCTCCGCGTTCGACAGTCAGAGACCGTCGACCACCTAAGGACAATCACAACATCCATAGCCAAGAGAAAAATTTCTCCTGGGACGGGATTCGAACCCGCACAGCGCACGGCGACTGATCAGGAGACCGAAGAGTCTACTACTGCGGCCACAGCCGCTGCCTGTTGTTGTTATAGTTGCTTTCCTCTATTACGCTTGAAGCTGATTTATACTGTTCTGATTGTTATTAGTTTTTACGGCAAATCTGTACTCTTAGTGGCAATATGGAACTAGACCACTGTTTGTCTTGTTTCCATAGAAGATGTGATTTTTGTCCTTAATTTTGGTGTGTTGTTCTATTAAAAGCTTAATATCTCAAAATCTAGTGATTTTCTCTGAATCAAACCTTATACAAAAAAAGCTTATAAAAAATTATAATCTAAACTTGCACAAATATACAGGGTGATGCATTTAACATTTTTGAGAAAAAGTACAATTCGCGTTTTTGACCACCCTGTATGAGCAAACTTGAAAATTCGAAAAAGTTACAAATAAAATAAAAGCAGAGGTGCGTAAGTGTTTTTGATACAAAATTCAGCACTCCAAATCTCGAAATGGCGGATTGAGGGATTGCAGAAGTGGACGGTTTTTCTGGACAAAACACCTTATATCTCAGTAGCTAATTAAAAAAACGCCATAGTATGTTATATCAATCTTCTCCTTTTAAACTGGTTTATCCAAATATGCTATAAAATTTTCCATTAAAAAAAAACACATCTTTGATATGTAGGTCAAAATTGGGACACCCTGTATAATTGCCAATATTTTTGAAATGTGCCCTCAAATATCATGTATAATATGCCATAAATATATTGTTTCCATGGATGATGTGATTTTTTCCTTAATTTTGGTGTGTTGAATGAGCAAAAATAAAATTTCAAAAAAGTGACAAATAAGATAAAAGCTGAGGTGTCTAAGTTTTGTTTGATACAAAATTCAGCACTCCAAATTTCAAAATGGCGGATAGAGGGGTTGCCTTAGTGGACAGTTTTTCTGGACCTGGACAACACACCTTACATCTCAGTAGCGAATTACCAAAACCCCATAGTATGTTATATCTTTTCTTGAATTGGTTTATCCAAATATGCAATAAAATTTGAGGCATTCCATTTAAAACATCACAACTTTGATATGTAGGTCAAAATTGGGACACCCTGTATAATTTCCAATATTTTAGAAATGTGCCTTCAAATGTCATGTACGTTATAATATGCCATTAATAAATTTACCCAAAATGTATTTGTTTATGAGTAATACTCCGTCCACACATGGATGGGCCACCCTGTATTTATTAAATTTGTTTAATCAGTTCAGGTAAAAGCGTTTTCTCAGTGTACTATTCAGCCACAATCGACACCCATTCAGCTGTCACAATCGTGACTGGGCTGTCAAACGCGAACTGAGATATTTGCAGTTACTTCGACAGATCACTTGTCTCCAACAGTTACTATGATTTAGTTCGTTGTCCCAGAGACCAAGCCTAGACTATGCTGATGAGTCTCCAAGAAGCATAAAACAGCTATCCATGGCTAGCCACCTGTAGTCGGGCGAACGAATGCGGCACGTTTAGATAATGCATTTGAAAAATGCAACTATCTTCATACACGTTAGGACCGTACTGAAAAAATATCGTAATAAATGGTTGAATTTCGATGGTCAAAACCGATGTTGGGCACTTATAAAATAGAGAGTATAACAGCAGACTGAAATATACTGGGAAACCGTGACGAGTTCCAAAAAAGCACGAAACAGCTGTCCAAGGTTGACTGTCTTTGGTCGGGTGGACGAAAGCAGTATGTTTAGTTCACAATGGTTTTCTATACGTTCCAGGATCTTCGTCGAAACCGTCATCGCGTCCAACTTCACGACCTCCGTCTCGGCCAGTATCTCCTTCAGCCCAGGCCGTTCGCCCAGGCCAAACAGCCCAAGTAGGCGGCAAACGGGGAATCGTACGATACGTGGGACCCGTCCACTGGGCAGCAGGTTTATGGTGCGGCCTAGAGGTAGCCGTAGGGTTGGGCAAAAACGATGGGGCGGTCCACGGACGCAGGTACTTCCAGTGCCCGCCCACTGCGGGAGTGATGGCCCCGTTGGCTAAGGTGCAGGTGCTACATGTTGATCCAGAGCAGAGTCAGCGGGAAGGAAATGACGATGTGTCAGGTGAGTAAGTTTTCAGCCACTGGCCGAGGATGTATTGTAATCGAGAACAATTTGAATTATGGGTTATTGTTTTTTTGATAATAATAATAATAATAAATGGCCTTTATTTTACCTGGCGGGTTACATCAGCACAAGCTGTTTTTCAGAACCAACCATATTATGTGACATGTACTCCTCGGAAAACCATGTCGCTTTTGAAAAACGGTCCAGTGGCGGCGATAAAAAGGGCCAAAAACAAAAAAAAAGATGACCCAAACTTCATTTTACAAGCTCCTGATCATTTTCAGAAAAAATTTTATAGGGGTAAAATTTGGGAATGGTGGTTGTAGAAGGTGAGGAAGGGTATATGTTTTTTTTTATTTTAGTATATTTATGTACCTATTCTATCTATTATGCATATTGGCTTATTCCTGTACGGTGTAAGTACAGTCATGGTGGAACTACACAATCATGAATTAATACTCGTAAGACTGCCTTTACGATCTATCTTGCTGTCACTACGTCAAATGACACTGTCGGTCTAAGAAAATTAAGATATTAATAAAACAAATAATCTATATTCCAAATTGTACAATGACATTACAAAAATTGTATAGCCACTACAAAATGAAATGTTGAGTCACTATCACTATAGTAGTTTACCTGAGACCTTTTTATGTGTTACATGGTTATCCATCTTAAAACAGCTACAATCTTAAACTATTACAACTCCCATAGAACTCATCTATTGTATAAGGCTCTGACTGAACTAGAAATTGCTCAATAGTCTTTTTAAATTTATGTAAACTGTTTATGTTTTTAATTTCATTTGGTAGATTGTTAAAAAATTTTAAACACATGTAAATAGGGCTTTTTTCTGTGGAGGATAATCTGTGTATCGGATAAGTAACATTGACTGTTCGAGTATCATAAACAGTTTGCACCTCAAGGTCAAATAAATTTTTAATTTTGAAAAGAAATATAAGACACTCGTACATATAGATGGCATACATAGTCATGATTTTTTCAGTTTTAAACACCCCCCTGCAAGTTTCATTGAAATTTAGTCCCTTTAGCAGACGTACTGCTCTTTTTTGAACCACAAAAATTTCTTTAATAAACCTATTGCATCCCCAAAAAATAATCCCATACTTTAGAACACTTTCAAAATTAGCATGGTACAATATTTTCATACTCGTATTATTTAGATATCTTGATATCACCCTAAAACCATAGCAAATGGCATTGAGCCTCTTCAGCAGTTCAAATACATGTGTTGTCCAATCTACAAATTTATCAATATATACTAAGTGACATATAAATCCGAACACCCAGTTTAAATGGTTTTATTTTAATAAAATTTTGTATAAGTACTTAATGAAGCATAATAAGTAAATGATAAAAATTTCGAAATGATTGCACTGCTTTAAAGCCCTTTTACCTTTAATAATGTATGGATGCACCCTGATGTGCTACGCATTCTCCAACGCGCCTAGGCATGCTTCTGATCAGGTGCTCAATGTCCTCCTGTGGTATCTCATTCCAAGCAACCACCAACTCCTCTCGAAGTGCTTCTAGAGTCTGAGGATGACGTTGCAAATTGAGCAATCTCCTACCCATCATATCCCACACGTGCTCAATTGGGGATAAGTCGGGAGATCTTGGTGGCCATGGTAACAATGTGACATCTTTATGTTGAAAGAAGTCTATTGTGACTCTTGCAACATGTGGTCGGGCATTATCTTGTTGGAAAGTTGGATCTGCCAGGGTGTCAAGATAGGGTAAAAGATGGGGTTCTAGAACTTCGTGAATATAACGCTGCGCGTTCATGTTACCTCTGATGAAGATTAAAGGTGACCTGGAACCATAAGCTATAGCACCCCAAACCATAACTCCAACAGTGTGATGAACATGTCTTTCAACAAAAAACTGTAGATTCCTCCTTTCACCACGTCGCCTTCTAACCCTGGCACGACCATCGTGCATGCCTAAACAAAATCGAGACTCGTCACTAAAGACAATACTGTTCCATTCCTGATCCCAGAGTGACCGTTGTCTGCACCACTCAAGGCGATTACGTCGGTGTAAGGGTTAGAAGGCGACGTGGTGAAAGGAGGAATCCACAGTTTTTTGTTGAAAGACATGTTCATCACACTGTTGGAGTTATGGTTTGGGATGCTATAGCTTATGGTTCCAGGTCACCTTTAATCTTCATCAGAGGTAACATGAACGCGCAGCGTTATATCCACGAAGTTCTAGAACCACAATTTTTACTCTATCTTGATACCCTGGCAGATCCAACTTTCCAACAAGATAATGCCCGACCACATGTTGCAAGAGTCACAATAGACTTCTTTCAACATAATGATGTCACATTGTTACCATGGCCACCAGATCTCCCGACTTATCCCCAATTGAGCACGTGTGGGATATGATGGGTAGGAGATTGCTCAATTTGCAACGTCCTCCTCAGACTCTAGAAGCACTTCGAGAGGAGTTGGTGGTTGCCTGGAATGAGATACCACAGGAGGACATTAACCACCTGATCAGAAGCATGCCTAGGCGCGTTGGAGAATGCATAGCACATCAGGGTGCATCCACACATTATTAAAGGTCAAAGGGCTTTAAAGCAGTGCAATCATTTTGACATTTTTATCATTTACTTATTATGCTTCATTAAGTACTTATACAAAATTTTATTAAAATAAAACCATTTAAACTGGGTGTTCGGATATAGATGCCTACGAATTTTACACTTTCGCCCAACTGCAGTTGATGTTCATCTATATCGATACATTGTAGCTTAACGACTTTGCTCTGCTTAGTTCTAAATAATGTTGCATCAGTTTTGGATTTATTCAGCACTAGTTTGTTCTCAGGAAACCATGAATTCACACTTCTGAATAAGAGATTCCCATTAGCAGTTAGGTCCTCAACACTTGTCCCACCCAACACTAAATTTGTGTCATCAGCATAGCAGATAATTTGATGCTTGCTCTGATCACCACTAGTAGCAAAACGGAGATCGTTTAAAAAAACTACAAACAAAACGGGCCCAAGTATACTACCCTGTGCTATGCCGGTTGAAGTCAACTCAATGTTTGACTTGTAAGTTTGACCACCTTTAACAATTTCAACCCTCTGTTGTCTATTATAGAGGTATGACTTGAACAATTCTAGCGCAGTTCCTCTTACACCATGTCTTTGTAGCTTTAATAACTCTCTGTTGATGCAATCATAAGCTTTGGACAAGTCCAGGTAGAAACCAACCGCTAAATTTCCCTCCTCTAATTGCTTAAGATTTATAACAGCTGTTTTCAAATTCTCTGGGAATGATCCTTGTCTAAAAGCATTATTAATAAATAGGCACAAAACATGTTTTAAAACTGGAATGGAAAGTTTTACTATTGTTGTTGGAACTTCATCTATACCACAGCTGAATTGTAGATTTGTAGTAATCGGAAGTAAAAGCTCATCAGAGCGTGTACATTTTTTTAAAGCTTAAAATTTTAAAAGTACACGTCTTAGATCTTCTTTATATTTTGCTGATAGCTATTATGACTTGATTTATCCTCTGTTTCCGGTTTGACGTCGACTTCTAGGAGACCCTGTATATGTCTCTGTATTGAAGCGCAAGAAATATACGGACTTTGCACGAAACTAGTCATAAATCGCTGCAGCAATTCCGCGCAGATGTGTAAACTATCTACTACCAGAAGGGCACGGAAAGGATGTCTATGGACTGATTGTATGAGTCTGTTGACTGACTTAATTTCTCTGTTGTACATGTTCGTAAGTCAATTTTTTCTCAGAGGATTTAATGTGGGCTGAGCTTAATCCTTTGAGAAGTGATAACGGCATGCAGAGTCAACCCACTTGACGCCATATTTTTACTTTTGTAGCAACTAGAATTAACAGTTGTCCCAAACGCTGTATACGTCTCGGAGTGCTCTATTGGCATTCCCTGTACGAAGTATGAGATTCTGCAAAAATACGACATAGGCACAGAATCTCAGTTTTAACTCCAAGAAAAATCCGTTTTACTTTCCACGCCTACCATCGAGGAAATATCACAATCGCGATACATTCCGAAAATGGCACTTACATCACGAAAAATCATGTCGCCCATTTCGGTCGGTTTGTCTGTCCGCTAATCCTTGCCTCGTCTATAACTTGGAAAATATCACTCGCATTTTGATCAAATGTTTACACGAGATAACTGCTATGCGAAGAACGAAAAAGCTTTATAGTTTTGGGTCCAGTGATGACGGCGTGAAGGGCAGCAAAAATCGCTCAAACCTTGTTTTTCGATGCTCCTGAAAAATTTTTAGGGGTTAAAAATCGTGACTGGGGGCTTCCGCCTTTTGTTGGGTACTTCGACAAAATTTAAGCAAGGAGGACTCTTTATACTTTTTTAATCTCTCTAGCTTTCAATGGTCTTTGCCATCATCATCAGGAGCTGCAATTAATTGATAAAAGTAGCAACAATTGTGTACAATGAATTTAAATTAACTTACAGTAGTATGTGAGGATGTTGCTAAATGTTATTTACGTTAAGGTTGAGGGAAACACCCAGTAACATGGTGAAAGCTGGATACATGGTACAATGGTCAAAATTATACAAACTGCATACAGCTGTATGACAAGAACAAATTAAAAACAGATAAAAAAACAATTATTAAAATTTGAATAAAGTGGAATTTTTTGGTGGAATAGACCAAAAAAACAGATTCCATTTATGGTTGTGAAGAGTCAAAATTTGGAGAGATGTGTAAGTGCTCCAGCTTTTCGCAGTTTAGCAAATATGAGTAAATGATGCTCAGTTGCTTAACATCTGTCTTCTTGTTGATGCAGTTGTCATTCATGAAAATGTGGAACATTTCCAGGAATAAACGTTTTGATAGGTGTTTTTCTTTATCGAGAACTTTGATACTTGTATAGTTCATAGAGTGCCCTGTTGTGTTGACATGAGATGCTAGAGCACATCTCTCGGGATGAAGCCTCGAATCTATTTTGTGTGATGTAGTCCTTCCTTTAAGAGATCTGGCGGTCTGACCTAGGTATATTTGGTTGCAATTGTTGCAATTGATAGAGTAGACTGTGCTGGTTAAGCCAAGCAGCTCCTGATGATGATGGCAAAGACCAGTGAAAGCTAGAGAAATTAAAAAAGTATAAAGAGTCCTCCTTGCTTAAATTTTGTCGAAGTACCGAACAAAAGGCGGAAGCTTTAATTTTTCACCTAACTGGTCTAGACGACAATGACCACGTCTCAAGTTATATATATATAAGCTTGAAATTCCGGTAATTTAACGCGTCTTTTAAGGATCAGAAAACGTAAACAATTATTAAGCTTAAGTTCTGTGTAAGTTCCTTTGTAGTAGGGCTGCTAATAGCTTGTCCTTTTGTTTCAGGACCTCATTCTATGCTATTCATCGAGTCACAAGTAGAAAGAAAAAACATCAATACGACCTCCTCAACATTTATTGTTAGTCGCGATACGCCAGATAGGCGACCGCAATCAGAAGTTGTATGTAATAGACCAGAAATCTTGAACAAGAAGAGATGCAATGACACCTTCGTAACAAGCTGTTCAGGAATACCACAGGTAGGTTTCTCCCTATTTTATTTGTCTGAGTTTTACATTGTTTTTACGCATTTTTAAATCCAAAGTGTCGGAGGTGAAATTTTACCGCATACAACACGCATAGCAACAAAGAAATCGGTCTGTACGTGGACTATAGATTTATTAACACATATTTCTGCTACGCTACAAATTAAAAATATTTTTCACTTGAATAACAACATTTACACAGGGTAATTAATATCCAAGTTGTATTTTCTTAAATCCCTTCCTGTATACATTATTGCATATTTATACAGGGTGACAGGTAAATAGGTGTAAAACATTTTAGGAGGTGATAGTACAGGCCCTTTGCTATCGAAATTAGTATATAATACCATACCCTATATTCGAAGGTTGAAAAGTTATTGAAGATTTAATTAAGATTTTTTTTTAAAAAACAATCCATATTTCAGAGTAAAAAAGTCGAGAGAAAAAAGTTGGCGATTAAACATTTGTTTTTTGTGGTTTTGGGTTATTATTTCAATAATTAACTATTATAAATTAAAAAAGATTCGAAAACAATACCAAACAACGTATTTATTTTCATTCAAAAATGTTTAACTAAGAAAAACAAATAACGTTTTACAGTAAGTAAGGTGTTTTACAAAAAAATCAGTATACAAAAAAACGTACAAACAATTTAAATAATATCCTTGTTTCATAAGAAATCTAAATTGGTATGATAAGTGCACAAAAACTAAGTGAAACTAAACAATGTATTGTAATACAACAATAGGGAGTAAATTTACCAATGGCTTGTCTCCTATTTTCACAACTCTCTGATTGATAAGAAAGTGTTTTTGTGAAACTAATGTAACTACGGTTAAGTTACACGATTAGAATATTTACACAGTTGTAATTGTACTACAGAATAATAAAAACTGACTAAAAGTTACTACAATTGGTAAGTAAAATACAATAATGAAATGAAGGTAAAATTCATTGCAATTGTTGTTCGAACTGACGCCCGCCGTTTCTGATGCAAGCCCGTAGTCTTTTTCTTATGTTGGTACGCGTGATGCGGCCAGTTAGTTGTCCTCTGATAGTGTCAGCAGCAGCAATAATTCTTTCTTTCAACTGTGCAAGAGTGTCTATGGGCTCAGCGTACACCAGTGACTTCATGTGCCCCCATAAATAATAGTCACACGGTGTTAAATCTGGGCTCCTCGCTGGCCACGGTGTCGGTCCACCTCGGCCAATCCAGCGACAAGGATATTTCTCGTCCAGCCACTGTCTAACACCCAGATGGAAATGCGCGGGACAACCATCGTGTTGGTAGATCATCTGCATCCTGATATTCAGAGGCAGATCTTCGAGATACTCCCAGAGTTCGGATCTCAAAAAGTTTTCATAGGATTCGCCATTCAGGTTGTCAGGCAAAAAACTGGTCCAATTAGATACGTGTGAATGATTCCCATCCACACGTTTGCCTAAAATATTCTTTGATGGGCTCTTGGCTTTGCCATGTGGGGATTTGCCTCTGGGGCCCAATAATGTAAGTTGTGGTAATTTGTTGTCCCCTCTCTGTCAAACTTAGACTCGTCGGTCCACAATATTTTAGTTAAATAGTCGTTTTCTTCTTGATCCCGATAAAGCATGTATCGACAAAAATCAATTCTTCTTGCGGGATCTCCTTCTTCTAATACTTGAACCGGTGTGTAATGGAAAGGGTAAAGTCTCCACTGAGTTAAACCAAGCTGCTTTGCTATAACTCGTGTAGACGTCGTCGGGTCTCTGCCGTAGCATTCCAGCATTGACTCTCGATCTTCGTCGTCAAACAACCGAGGTCTACCAGCATCATGACGTCTCTCATGAACCTGTCCACTTTCCTTGACGCGTTGGTACACAGAAGCAAATACTCGATGACTCGGTATTTGCCGATTCGGAAAACGGTTTTCGTATTCTCGCCTGGCTTCGACGGAATTTCCATCACTTAAACAATAACAAAACAGAATATCAGCGTATTCTTCGTTACGGTAACTCGCCATTATCAAAACTGATCAAAAAAGTAAAAGTACGTCCTATCGCGTTAAAGGTTGATATTCTACTAACTAATCTAAGCGGTGGTTCCCTTTCCTTGATCCGTCAGCCGTGTCAATTCATAACACACGCAGAGCTTGCTTCCGAGGAGCGACGACAGATTCCGAATACTTAAACCCGAATAACGGCACAGGGCACAAAAAAAAACAAAAAGGGCCGAACCATGAAAGGCTCGGTTTACCTGCTCAGTACAATGAAAAAGTTGAAAATAAAAATTTTCGTTTAACATTTAAATGAAAATAAATACGTTTTCAGTAGTGCTTTCATATGTTTTTTAATTTATGAGAATTATTTATTTAAATAATAACCTGAAACCACCAAAAAAAGAATGTTTAATCACCAACTTTTTTTTATCTCAACCATTTTACTCTGTAATCTGGGTTGTTTTTAAAAAAAAAATAAATCTTCCATAACTTTTTAACCTTTGAATATAGGGTATGGTATTATATGTACTAATGTACAATGTACAATGTACTAAATGTTTAGTGCAATAAAGACCCTTTATTATTATTATTATTATATACCAATTTTGATAGCAAAGGAGCTGTACTATCACCTCCTTAAATGTTTTACACCTATTTACCTGTCACCCTGTATATCTTGGTCAATTTTAAGCTTTATGTATCTACAGCCAACTGCACAACCACAATAAGTCATTTTTGCAAAAAGTAGAAGTTCGAAAGAAACTCAATATAATGACCGTTATAAACATAAGGGGTTGTAACTTTTAGGTGTCATTGACCATGAAAAGTACTATTTTAGGTCAAATTCTAAATTCTTTTTATATCAGGAGAATCGGTAACCGCAATTTGAAGAACTTCTGTCAAAGATCTTGATTTTTCCAAATGGAACTACCTACTTTTCTTCATACCACCATAAACTTGGTCACCTTTCTAACGATATTACATTGTTGGCTGCTATCTCCGACAGTTTCATTCTAATTCCGGATTCACTGGTTATTTTACTGTATGGGTTTACCAGATGTTTTAATTCCGAATACATTTAAGCATCTAGTAGACCACGAAAAATAACACTGGACAACAAATTTTAGTTTTTTAATTGTATCTTGTGGGAAAAGTGCACTTCTTTGTTAATTTTGGGGTGCTGAGTCCAAAAATGACAATGAAATAAAAAAATTAGTTGCGGTTTAGAAAAAAAACTTTTTATTTTTAAGGATATATTAAAAAAAGTAACAAGATTCATTTATAAGAATCACTATATGCGCTGTCTTTTTGCTGTTCTTTTATGGATCGTTTCTGGAGCATCTCTACCAAGAGTCCAACAGTAGTCTGCAAGCATGGAAGGATTCCACTTTCCCTGGTACCTTTTTTCCATTGTTGAAATATCCTGATGAAAACGTTCGCCGTGCTCATCACTTACGGCTCCGCAATTGTCAGGAAAAAAGTCCAGGTGTGAGTGTAGGAAATGTATCTTAAGAGACATATTACAGCTCATCTTTTGATACGATGACAGCATATTTTTGACAAGGGTTTTATAGTTGTCAGCTTTTCTATTTCCCAAGGAATTAGTGACCACCAGACGGAAATCATTCCAAGCAGTTTTTTCAATACCTGTTAAAGTGTTTTCAAACTGTGTATCTTTCAAAATATTTCGAATCTGTGGCCCAACTAAAATACCTTCTTTAACCTTTGCCTCACTTAGTCTTGGAAATTTCTGACGCAGGTATTGAAAAGCTGACCCATCTCTATCTAATGCCTTGACAAAGTTTTTCATTGGGCCCAACTTGATATGCAGTGGTGGTAATAAAATTTTTTTCGAATCTACTAATGGCATATGCTGTACATTTTTTTGACCTGGGTCTAGGAATTGACGAACAGGCCAGTTTTGTCTGGTGTAATGAAGTGCCTTTGCCCGACTGTCCCATTCACACAAAAAACAGCAAAACTTTGTGTAGCCTAGCTGCAGCCCAAGTAAAAGTGCAACAAATCGCCACAAATATGCCATTGGTGCTCATCGTATTTTATGCATGTCAATAGGTACTTCATATTGTCATATGATTCTTTCATGTGAACTGCATACCCTATAGGAAGAGATGGTAAAATATTTCCAATATGCAATAACACTGCCTCTAAACTCAATGTTGAACTGTCTATAAACAATCTCCATTCTTCTGGGTTATAGTTTATATTTAAAGCCACCAGTAAGCCGTTAATGTTACTGCAGAAAACCAAGTTATTCTCCATATTGAAAAATGTGGCATTTACGAAAAACACATACCGAAACATCGTCTTCTAACAAGTTCCACTGCTGCAGTCTTGATCCAAGTAACTCTGCCTTACATTTTGGAAGTTCTAAATCTCTTACAAGATCATTTAATTCTGACTGTGTTATTTTGTGCGGTTGGTGGCATGACGTGCTCGGTATAAAATCAGGATCTCTTGACGTTGATGGCATATCTTCTTCCTGACGAGTCACTCGATCGCCATGATCTGATTCGTTTTCTGATTCGCAAGTGTAGGATTCTGGGGGTTTTGGAATAGGATTTTCGTCACTGTGAGGCACAGGTCTCATCGCAGATGGTATGTTTGGGTAGTTAATAACCGATTTTTTTTCTTGGACATACCTGTGGCTTGTCCAACACAAGGTACCATGCAAAAGTAACAATCATTAATATGATTTGTAGGCTCTCTCCAAACCATTGGGACAGCAAAGCGCATAGACCGTTTTTTGCCATTTAACCAGCTGCTCAGACTTGAAGCACATGTATTACAGCAGATGTGGGGTGCCCACTGCTTGTCTTGATCACCTAGTTTACAACCGAAATAAAGCTGTTATGCCTTTGTTATTAGTGGCGTAATAGACCGTCTCCGAGACGTAAAAGTCACATCACCACACACGTAACAAAACTGATCTGGATTGTTTACACACTTTCGAGACATCTTGCATGAACGCTGTCAGCCAACTGAGGAAAAAATGGCTAATATAAAACAATATAATGTACACGTATGTATAACGTAACACAATCATGCCGATTACATCATCTTTCCTTGCCGAATATAAAAATGTAGCACGTGCATTCTTGTGAATTACAGTATATTAACACTGGAACACATATAATTACCGTATCTCTAAAACTTGAACTAATATTGAAAAAATAAGTTTCATTCCGGTTTTAGCACATTAAAAATAGTAATATTTTGTTAATTTTATTTAATATATTTTTTGGCTGTTGATCAGTGTAATTAAAGGAACAAAATCGAACCTAAGTGAACCTACCTAATCACGATTCGATTTCGCCTATTTAAACGATTTGACTCATCTCTTTTTCGAAACCTCCAACGAAGTCGTAGAAAGTATAAATCCAGTCTACTTGATGCCATTCTCTTGTTCAGGTCGACCAGGAGGACAAACAATTCCAAAATTGCGAAAACAGTCTGAGCGACTCGAACATTGAGGTGAAACGAAGGCGTACCAGCAACACCAAAAACAAACTGATCGAGTCGTTGACGTTGAGAAGTCTGCCCGAATCGATTGAGAAACCGACTTCACTGCCTCCACCTAAGAGTAGCTGTAGCACTCCTCCGTTAGCTTCGTTGGTGTTCAAGAAACTCAGCTACACGTCGGTGAAGAACGAAATCGCGGAACCGCTGTTGAGGAAGTTGCGCAACAGCTTTATCGGAAGTTCTGACAAGAACCACGAAGAAGACAGCAAGACGGATTCGTTGGACGATTCACTGGGTAAGTCGATCCACTTAGATTAGTTCAGTTTCTGCCACGACAAACGGAAATAGAAATGTTGCATTAAGGCTGCAATTTACTAACAGGAGATTAAAATTATTGATATGGATCATAATGGACCAACGAGGAGACAGTTTCTAGTAATGGTTTCAATGAATATTGTCGATTTTTTCTAAATTATCTCTAACACTGGCGGAAGATATACGATTTGAGTAATTTCTGTCCTTGCTCGCCAACCCGTCGATTGCAAAGGCAATCCTGGCGGCTCACAACATATCTTAAAAAGATGTAAAAATCATAGAAGCTTCCGTATATTCTGTAAATTCTCATAATAAACACAAGCAGCGGCAACACTGCGGTAAGCGATCTGTTCGAGAACGATCTCGATTATCATGAACGGAATAAATACTCAAGGCGCGGCGACAGTGCGCTCAGTTTAAAACTGAAGTTAAAAATGTGTGTAGTTTGTATAATTTTGACCATTGTGCCATGTATCCAGCTTTCACCATGTTACTGGATGTTTCCCTAATCCTTAACGTAAATAACATTTAGCAACATCTTCACATACTACTCTCCTGATGATGATGGTAAAGACCATTGAAAGCTAGAGAGATTAAAAAAGTATAAAGAGTCCTCCTTGCTTAAATTTTGTCGAAGTACTCAACAAAAGGCGGAAGCTTTAATTTTCACCTAACTGGTCTAGACGACAATGACCACGTCTCTAGTTATATATATATATATATATATACAGGGTGTCCGCAAAGTTGGGGTTTTCCTTTTCAGAAACAACTACCCTTCAAACAACATTTGGGAGAATAAATGGTCCAATGAGCATACCGTTCACCATGTCAGCCCAAACATTCACCGAAAATGTTTGTTGAAAATGTGCCCGACGGACGGCGTGCGGATTTTCTACTGACCAAACATGAGTGTTGCGAAAGTTATTCACCCCATTACGCGTGAACGTAGATTCGTCTGTCACCAATATGCACTTCAAAAAGTCCGGATTATTGTCATTTTCATGCAACAACCTCTCACAAAACCGCGCTATTGCTGGAAAATCGTCAGGTTGAAGGGCTTGTACACGTTGGACGTGAAACGGATACAGCCCCTCTTCACGCAGCGTTTGCCACACTTTAGTTTTTGATACTTGCACTTCTCTAGCCAGGTCTCTAGTGCTTTTTGTTTTTTGAAACGCAATCGTTTATACGCGTTCGTTTACCTCTACACGCGTGACCGTAACCGTCGGTTGAAGGTTGCATACTGACCTGACACACTGACCCCGACCCAGTTCTGTTGTCGGGTTGAGCTAGTGTCCTAGTACCACTTGGGGATGTCGCGGCTACAGGACGGTATTCAGATATTTTTGATGTTGCAGAGCTCTTTATCTCGGTTCCCTTAAGACATTGGTGTATATGGTACTAAGAAAAATTGCTTATGTTTTCAAGATCTCCACGTCGTGTAAAGGAAAACCCCAACTTTGCGGACACCCTGTATATAATCCAAAGGTAGCAATATATGTGAAATAAAGGTTCCAAATTGAATTGAATATTGAAAAGAATATTCATGCCAAAATATTCCATGGCAGGCTCTAAAAGAGTTACCTATGGATCACGCATCAATTAGTTATGAATAACTCTTCACCGTTATTTCATCAATTCCAGGAATCCTGACCCCGGATCAAATGAGCGACTTCCCGTCGTTCGCGCAGACAAGGTTACCAAGCTTTGAATACGAAAACGGCGAATGCTCGATGAAGAAACAGGACGAGGCTGACTGTGAGGAAAAACCACCTTGTCCAAAGACGTTGTCTTTGGCTTTGCCACAATCCAACTTCTCCAGGTCAAAGGAGGACCTCCAAAGTCCAAATGCTGGCACGGCGGACTACAGTTTCGGTATCATCGACGACCAAGTGCTATCGAACCTGACGCTCATCACCGACACGACGGTGAATCTGGATGATTTGAATTTGGCTAGGATGGAACAGACTCCATCTCCTGAGGAGCTGCCTCTGGATCCTACGCCGATTGTTGAAGCTGATAAGGTATGTGGATCAGGATTACTAGTAGTTGTTATAGTATTCAAGTGGACTGTATAGCGGCTGGTTCAAGAATGAAATGTGGTTGTCGCCTATATTCTGTCTAATTCTGGTTCGTATTCCTGGCGTAGCGGTGATGCAGGAGCGTGAAGATTAGGGTGTGGGAGCGGTTCTGATTCTATGCGTTTGCTGCGTAGACACGTGGTCTCACTGTATGTGGTTGCGGGTATATATGTTTTCACGGTATGCCGGTTGCGGCGTATCTGCGTGGTCTGTCGGTGAGCTAGTATCTTTTTTCCTTTTACTGTCCTAGCAGCGCACGCGCGCGGGGTAGGCAAGCGACAACTCATACTGGCCTTAAGATAAAGTCAACCAAATATCCCTAACAGTAGTAATAATATGGAAACCAAATGAAAGTCTACTTTGCAGGTATTTTTCTTTCCTCGAAAAGATATTTGTCTTACTTGTTGCCTGTCCTGCTCTTACCGTCAAACATCTCCTGCTCCAGGCCCTGGCGCCCTAGACGGTCATCTAGTTGTCCTACACATATTTGACTATGACGGCAGGCATGTGCTCCAGGGGCTAAACCGTTCCCTGTGGAACGCCCACGTCGTGTTGATGTTGTTGAAGGCAAACGAGACTCATTAAAGGATATACGGTTCCAACAAATTTCTAAATATTTTTTGATCTGTGTAACATCGGCAATTTCGTTTTTTAGGTGGATGCGACGAAGGTAAAGACCACAAACAATTTCGTGACCAGTATAACCAGCATCACGAGCCTGGATACGGGATACCAAGGTGACGGGGAGATGTCTAGACCAGCCAGCCGAGGAGCTGACAGTTCACCGTTGACTAGAAGACCTTTGCCTAGACCCCAGGTCAGGAGGCAGGACCCGATGACCGATTCTGATTTTTATACTGAGAGTGATGCTGACAATCATGACGATAATCAGTTGAAAGGGGATCGGAAGGCACAGGTAATTGGCACCTTTCTTCATTGCGGCATGAAGAGCGTTGTTTCCGGACTTTAGAATAAAATAGTCGATCTCATGACAATTTGCTGGAAAAGTGGCAAAAGCTACACTGAATGCAGAGAAGTTGAGAGGTCAAGGTCATAAAATCGGTTGTCTACTTCTCTGACAGTTGCCGCTTAATCATCAGGCTTATTATGTACTCAAAGTTTAAACATCATTACTTCCGGTTCTCAGCAAAATTTACGAAAAATGCTTGGTAAAACATGTTGAAAATAATCGGCTTGGATTTCGACGTCAAGAAAGCACAACCTTCGCAGTTTTGAAGTTAGTCGAAGACAGTCGACGCTTTTAAAAAAACAATTTTTGCAGACCATATTCTGTGATCTAAGCAATGCATCCGACTATGTATCACATACCATTTTAATCAGGAAGCCCAGAATGTACAAGTTCGAATCATCTTCTTGCAACCTAATCGAATCGAATTCAAGCAATAGAAAACAATTAGTAAGAATAGGAAATAAGACATCAGATGAAAAATATGTATATTGAACACGGTGTACCCCAGCGCTCAGTACTCGGGCCGATTTTATTTCTGATATACCTCGTATGCGTTGAATAGTGATATTTGCTCTATGCCACTTTTTGATATCATATCGTAACTGTGGGGTCAAGGTGCAGACTTTTCTCTTTACAGAGGCGGGCAATTAGTACACTGTATTCTCTGCACGACTGCAAACACTTATTCAAAGAATCGAGAAGACTTATATCGCCTTCAATATACAGGGTGGTCAATCGAAAACATTCCACCACGAATTTACCGAAAATCACTGATTAAAAGAAGAAACGTCGAGGCACGTCAAAAGATTTGTCGAGGGGGAGACCTTCCAACCAAAAACTACGTCACCCCCTTTCACTTTCGAAGAGCTTTATTTTGACGAAGATTTGACATGGCAGCAACCAAATAACAACCCGAATTTTTTCCGCATTCTTTCCATCAACACGGATATCCTGTTCGGTTTGTATTTATTGTTATACCTGTTTAGTTATTTGTTGCTAAGGGAAACAAAGAACTTAATTTGCTGTCAGTTACCTTTGCTACAATCTCGGAAAAGTGAAAATTACTTTATTGATTCAGATTTTACTTCCAAAATGGTTTACACACTAGCCGAAAGAGTTGAAATGATTCTGATTTATGGTGCCTATATCAATTTGCTCGGCAAACTGACGTCACATTTAACGCCAGACATCTGGGGATGATAAATTCACAAAGGTATGTTGCTGAATTTGCTCAAACTTGACCTGTTGCAAATAAAAAACGTGATCGGAGGATTTTGGACGAAGCCGCTCAAGCCTTGGATCATTATGGAATAAATCCTAACACTTCATTACGCAAAATTGTTGCTGCGACTGGTATTTCATTAGACTCTGTACACACAATTACTAAACTCCATAGATTTCATCGAATCAAAATGAAAATATTGCAAGAGTTCACCGAAGCTGATTTCGATAGGCGACTTGAGTTTTTGTGAACAAATTATTGCAGCGATTAATGACAGTGAATATTCATCTATAGAATGGCCTGTTAGATCTCCTGAATTGGCGCCTTTAGACTTTTTCTATGGGGCCATTTGAAATCTATTGTGTTTTCTTCCCAACCTGAAAGTTTGGATAAACTTCGTCAACGCATCATCGAGACCCGCTATTATGTCCCACAACATGTTTTTGAAAATGTCCTTCAGGAACTTGAATATCGCCTATATCATTGTTTAAATATAGATTTTTCTAATTTTCTCACAAACGAATCGACTGATTTTAAAAAATCGTCAATATAAAGAACTTCGAAAGACCTTTCAAGTCAGCTACTACTCGATACCCCTTGTCTTTTAAAATTTTTAAGGGGATGTCTCGGCGTTTTTTTAATCAGTTGTTTGTTGTTTTCGATAAATCCGTGGTGGAAGTTTTCGAATGAACACCCTGTATATTTATGAAGCAAGGGTATATACCGAGCATACTGACTAGGATACAGGGAGTGCTGGTACTTATATATTCCCTTTGTGGGATAATAAGATAATAAAAAGTTTCCTTGAAAAATATTTTTTATTCATACCAAGACTTACTGGATTTTAAATTTGGATGCGTGCGTTATCTGTTATTGCTTTTTAAATTGTTTTTATTATATTACTGTATCTTTTTATGCCCACATTTAAATTGTGACGTTCCACATAATTCCTATATATGTATACAGGGTGGCCCATCCATGTGTGGACTGAATATTACTCATAAACAAATACATTTTGGGATAATCTATTTATGCCGTGTTATACATGACATTTGAGGGCACATTTCTAAAATATTGGCAATTATACACGGTATCCCAATTTTGACCCACATATCAAAGTTGAAATTGACTATAACTGGCTCTATGATGGTGTCGATGTGGTGGTCAAGCTGCCACATTTTTGTTTCTTCCTTCACAACATGACGGATAGCATTCTGCCAAGCTTCGGGCGTTACTAGCTGTATGGAAGTCTCAAGTAAAACCTTAACGTCTGGTAATTTGAAGGTTGTGTTATGGCGCGCAATATAACCCTTCACTTGAGCCCAGATGAGCTCTATTGGGTTCAGTTCACAGTGGTAGGGCGGTAACCGCAGCACAGTGACACCACATTGACGGGCCATCTCATCAGTCACGTAACTAATGTTCGCAGGTTTGTGCTGTTTAATTTTTTCATACAATTCCGCTTTCACGCATGAATCGTCAAACGGGATTCCTTTTTCGCGCAACCATTGCTGCATGTCACTTTTTCGAGATCCCATAGTCGGTACACGTTCGGCTCGACGACTATGGTAGGAAGCATTATCCATGACGATCACAGAGTTGGGCTCAACTCGCTGAAGCACCCCTTGAAACCAGCTCTCGAAGCAGCTGGCATTCATTTCGTCATGGTAATCACCTCCTTTCTTAGAGACGAAAATCAAGTCACACTCTTCTAAAAAGCCACTATCGCTACCAATATGAGTTACGATCAATCTTTGACCTTTCCCTGACGGTCCACGAAGACCTGTTGACAAACCTTCAATGCTTGCTTGTCGGTTACTCACTACGTTTTTGTCTATCCAGGTTTTTTTAACTGTGTGACCTACATTTACCCATGTCTCGTCCAAATAATAGATTTTTCTGCTTTGTCGCCTATATTGAATCATTTCGCGTAGGTATTTTCGACGCCAGGCGACTATTTCAGGTCTCTCTATCAATACTGACTTCCGATTACGCGTTTCGTAACGAAAATTAATTTCGTGCAGGGATTTCCTCATTACCTCGACGCTCATTTGGGGTATAATTTCATTTTCCTTGATCGCTGCATGTACAGCCTTGAGGGTTGGTATCTCATTCCTAAAGAAGAATGAATGTACGGTTCGACTTAACGCCATTTTGCTATCGTCATCCAATTAAACTTTGGATTAGTAGTAGCTCCAGTTTTCTTCTTTTCGTGCACCACCCTGCGAATGGTCCACTCTGGAACGCCTGTCATACTTTCACAACGCGCGAGTGCATCTCCCTGCGACATAGTTCTGTTCAGATAATTGAACACGTTGAGCACGATTTCTTTCGCGTCCCTCTTCAGTGCTTTACGAAGCCGTCTACTTGTTCCCTGGCTTTCAGTACTTCCACTCGTGCCATTTGTACTCTCCATGGTTAAGTATAACCAAAACAGTAACCACAGAAACCACAACAATAACAATCACACAACAATTCTTATAAAAACACACAATATGCGATCGCTCAACGAAACACGTTCCAATGCGTTGCCGACGCCTATGAGTCTGCCGGTCGAGGCGCGTCTTTGATTTCATTGGTTCTACCGGCGGAGAACAATCAGCCATTATTTCCATCTCTGTCTGTGCTGTTGACCACCGCAAAGCCACAGAAACGACATATGTCGTACGCTATACGGCTGTACTGGAAGGAAGCCGGGATCGAGCTCTGATCACGTGTTGATCACGCGTATGAGTCATAACAGTTTTAAATAGTTGTAGTATAAGTAATAAAATATTGTATCGTGGCCTCTCGACCTATCCTGCTTCAAAGTGTCATTTTTCAAGCCAGATCAACTTTGCAACTGCAGTCACCTATTAAATTTCGTTCCTTCTAGGTCATCGACGGAACCTTGTATGGTGTCGACCCGCAAGCCGCGGCCGATATCTACGTCAACAACCGGGAAAACATGGACTCCAGCGGCATCTTCACCGACATCGAAAACCCATCAAGAACCGAAGAGGACATTGTAGACAATGCCGTCCCAGATCCTTCGCCGTCAGACACCGCAAGCACTAAGACAATTTCTGCCATAAACAGCCAAAATAATCTGCAGGATATTCTCGATAAGAAGAATGAGAGTAAAGATATAATAGAAAAACAAGTGCCAAAAGAAAACCCAAAGAAGAGAAATGCGTCTAGTCCACGTTTGTACACTGCAAGTCCAGTAAGGTCGAAGGAAGAAAGTATCGCGAAGAAGTATAAGATGCCAAAGAGAGAAGTGACGTCGAAGGTAAGAAGAAATATGGGTGAAATTAATTTTGGTCGTTAACAAGAACTTGAGCATGCATTGTGTCTATATCATCTCAGAGTATTGACTAAATCAGTCCTCTTAACAAAATAATGAAAAAAGATAGTCAAATGATTCTTTGCCGTTTGAATTATTTTGAACCTTATTTGATAGATAGTGTAGTATAGAAACGCTTTCCCAGGTGTTCCTCAGATCTGGAACATCAGCGAGCTCAAACTGTTAAAGAAGGCGGTCATGCGATCCTGCGAAGTTATATTCAACACCAAGCAAGGCATTCAACTTATACTGAGGAGCCCCCGCACCTCTCCTTCAGGCACTAAATGTCAATGACATTGCAATACTTAGAAACTGTAGATACAGTTCGAATCATGTATGACATTTCCAGCGATCACCTTCCTGACACATTGGAGGTCGGTGATAAGCAAACTTTGGAAGAGAATTCTTCCAAGGAAGTGCGTTGATTGGGAACTATACAAGTTGATTCCTAGATAGTTCTCCTATATCCCGATCGGTATAGATGAGGCTCAAGCGTAATGGACAAGTTTTGTTCAGCAAGCTCTGCAGCGTCCATCTGGACTTCCTGTACAACAACTTGGTAGACCTTTGCTCTCGGCAGAGATTCGCGATAAAAAGAGCTGCAATTAAACAAGCAAAAATGTCTTGTCATCCAAGTGACGCAAAGAATCTTGTCCGTGAAGTAAACAATGGGCCGACTTTCTGGCGGAGATGCTTGACTCAAGTACTCCTGACTAGGCGAAGTCGCTCAGAAATGGAGAGCGAGAGCTCGCACTCATCCACGCTCCTGGGGGCATAGTCTTCCAGACACAGGAAAATGTCGAGGTTTTCGCTGCTGCCATGGAAAGACAGCTATGATCTTGACAGTGATCTAGATGAGAAACACGCAAAGATTCGTCAGGAGATGATCTAGGGCCAAAGATGTCAGTGATCACGGCGCCACCATTAGTGATACTTCCTCAGAATATTTTTCAGCTGAAGAGTTGCATAGCACATCTGCGGCATTTCCAAAGGTCGCGCATTGCACATCAGCAGAGCTTCAAGGTCACGTTGAAGTCCTCAACGTGCGTAAAGCACCTGTGGAGGATCAAATCACTAATAAGGCGCTGAAGCTGCTTTCGCGGAAGTCCTTAACTTATCTCGTGGCAATAGTCAATGCCACGCTAAGGAGCCAGAACTTCCCGTTAGCGTGGAAGGCTGCGGAGGTTATAATGATTCCGAAGAAGGTTCCCCGGGATCATCATCCCATTAGCCTTGCTGTCTGCTCCATCTAAGCTCGCCGAAGAAGCGATTCTAAGCCATCTTCAGAATTTTTCATCATATCTCCATGTGATTCCTGATGTTCAATTTCGATTTCGGTCGAGCATAGTACGGGGTTACTGGCGGTTAGGTTTATCAAGAGGAGACCAGGAGCTTCACCCTTAACGAAAGTACCGCTTTGACCGCAAATTAAATGTGGAGTATCAACGAGAGTGGAGTGGGTTTCCAGGGCTCTGAAGGTTGCTGAGGCAAGTGGCCACATCTGATACCCGGACGACTTGGTTACTGAAGAGGCCTCTAGTGCCAGGGCTCTTGGCGGATACACTGCAAATTACCAAGTGGACTTTGGAAGATTTCTGTATCTTTAGTGTTAGTACAAGGACACGGATGCGCTCTCGAGAGCGGGGATTGGGGACAGACTTGCTGGTTCTGAGCTAGCGCTAGGTATGCCCGTGCAGGGCTAGGAGGATAACGAAGGAGTGGGTATCTAGACAACACTCTCTAAAATGGGGATGTATCTCTAGACGACTCTGTCAGGTATGGAAGCTCATTTTAGAGCCTTGTGCGAAGGATGAACGTGTTTGTATATCTCTGGATAGAGACAACGTAAAGTTACTTGAGCGACCATTGCATGACCACAACAAGTCCATATTGGTGGCTCAGGATCCCATGTGGGGCATTGCGGGATAAGAGTCCTCGGGGTATACTCTGTGTCGCTGCGAGGATACAATCATTTTGGGATATATTTTGGATCCTCATAATGCCAAGGAACTAGAGCTCAAGGTTATAACAACTTCGCCAGGAGGGCGGTTCTTGAGGCAGAAAGGCCCGGCATGTAGCCTAAACGCTGACAAGCCTTGTTTGCTCTAATGTCCATATAATGCATTGATTCACACCCGTACATTACCCATACCCAGCCTACTTTGATAGATAGTGAAGTATAGCAACACTTTCCTACGTGTTCCTGAGGGCTGAGTCATGCAACCCAGCGAAGGTATACTCAGGGCAGCTGGGCCATACTGCCATTTAAGTCGAATTGAAACGAGAGGATGCCGCAGGGATCACTCCTAAGTACTACTTCAACAGAAAATTGCATGTGGAGTATCCGACGAGGGTAGAGTGTGTTTCCAGGGCTCGGAAGGTCGCTGAGGCAAGAGGGCTTGGTTAATAAAGAGGGTTCTGGTGCCGAGGTGCTCACTCTCACTCACAGGTTCCGTCTAGTATCGCAGCGAGGCATCTGGGATCTGGTACCAGAACACCGATACGCTCTCGGGAGCGGGAATTGGGGGAGGCTTGTACCGAGCTAGCGCTAGGATTACGCGAGCAGGGTTAGGGGGATAACAGAAGGGTCAACACTCTCCTAAATGGAGGTGTATATCTAGCTTCATCATGCACGAGAGCTCTTTTAGGGCTTATTGCGAAGGATGGACGTCTTTGCTTATTTCTGAACAGAGATAAAGTAAAGCTACTTGTGGGACTGATGTTCGCCCATAACCATGTGAGCCGCCTCCTCGATGTGATGGTGGTGGCTCAGGGTCCCATATGAGGGCATTGCGAGGTAGAGGAGTCCTCGGTGCATGTTCTGTGTCACTGTCAGGCTACAGACAGACTATTATTTTGGGCAATATTTTGGATCTCCAAAGTATCAAAGAGGTAGAGCTCAAGTCTATATTAACTTCGCCAGGAGGGCGGTTGAGGTGCTGTGCATTCAATGCATTCATTCATACTCTTACAATACCCATAGAAGGAAACGCTCCGCTAAAATGGATTCTTGTATTGATATGACAGCTGGGTAGACACAAAGCAAATACCTAACTGTCTCCTAGTCTTATAAAGTTAATTTCTTAACTGGCAGTGCCCATTTGCAATGACAGTAGCAGGACGAGGTTGTTTTCTGAATAATAACATCATCCATAGAATATGTGGTGACTTTTCGACTACGGTGCAAATCATTTACCGGTGAGTTCGTCCGAGTTTCAATGTGTACGTGAGAGAGAGAGGATGAGAGACAGTTAGAAACAGTGGTCCCACAAATAATCACCACGTTGCTCGCCAACCACAGCACTTAAGTGACAGTGCCCAGTTGCAATGACAGTAGTAGAACGAGGTTGTTTTCTGAATAATAACATCATCCGTCTCTAGAATATGTGGTGACTTTTTGACTTCCATGCGGATCATTTACGGTTGAGGTAGTCCGGGTTTCAATATGTACGAGAGAGAGAGAGAGAGAAGCGTACAGCATGTATTTTTGAAAAGTTAGAAACACTGCCAGCGACAGCGACATGTTGCAGACTCTTCTGGCTTCTCTCTCGTACACACAGAAACTCAGCCGACCTCAACAGTAAATGATTCGCACGGTATATCGCTACCTTGATTGATGCCAAATAAGTGAAAACCTAACCTCTAGTGTGCGCTCAACTTTCATGATAGATAGCTATATTTTTAATAGGTTTGTCGATTTTTGTTTGTATTTAAATATTTTTGTTTCGTTTTTAGGTGAAATCCATGATAAAGTCTCCTCAAGTACAAACGCCGGAGGCAGAAAAGAAGAAGCCTGTGGGACGTTGGGATGCCGTAATGAGCAGAATAACGAAAACTGATTCGAATAAAACGAACTTAAAAGAAGTTAAGTCCAAGGTATACAATAATGTTAGGCCGACGGTAATGCAGAAGTCGCCAAATAATAAATTGTAAGTTCGTACTTCTATTGTGACTGATATGTTTTCTAGAAAGACTGTAAATTTCGTCTTGAAGGTCAAATACATACTCGTTAGATTGTAGCTCTATTAATACAAAATTATTCAACTTTAAATATTGCATGCAAACACTTATTTTACTCGTTACACTTTCCAAATTTTTTAGAAGCGCGCAGTTGCATGGCTATTATTCTTTTCTAGGTTTTCTTCTCATGGGCATAATATATCAAGAAACACCTCTAGTCCACAAACACCAATGTAGGTAGCTTGATAGCTCTTATTTTAAATTGTAGATACCATACCACCAATATAGTTGCATGCCTATAAAATTTATATGTTATATATTTTAATGCTTGATTTCTGAATGCTGGAAAGGTTCCAAAACTACTATCATTTAACTTAGATGCTGTAATGATTTTTAATAGTTTCCCTTAAACAAGAATGATGATGTTTGTATATGGTGAATGCTATTGTATTTATGTTTCGTCGTACCATTTTTGAGAACACTTACGTTCTCAAGAAAAAATATGTGATGTATTTGCTTCGCTTAACACGTTTGCCTATAACTAAACAAGCATGCAATGCCAAAGTCCGGCACGCTGTAAAAATAAATGCAATGTCAGTCGGTCTTTCTAGACGCTGGCCAAGCAGATTGAAGGGAACTACTCAGTGTAGCCTTCCACTGCTTACGTGCCAGGATGGAAAGATTGTTACCGACTCAAAGGTTAAGGCGCAAACCTTTTTCAATCTTACAGGCAACCAGCGCCGATCGGCACCTACAAGCTTCTATAATCTTTCTCTTTAGTTGGCAATAACACAATAGAGGCAAGCTCGGGCTTGTCGGCGTTACCAATTTTGCCGGAACGAGTATTTAGTTCTTTTTCGTCGGTTGTCAGAGCAGGTTGATGTAGATGACGGATATAGACAAGTTAGTTAAGACTGTCTAGATTACACCAATTTTTAGTTGGAAGGTGTTCAACTTTTCCCAGACTATAATTGAATGTTTCATGATTCATTCTGGTTTACTGATTAAAGCGGTCGGGTCATCTTTCAAGGCCTTGAACAAATGATGATATTCACCATAATGTACCCTCTGACGATTTATGGGGTGATTGTTTTAGTTACAGAGATGCCCAATGCAATTCATCTTCAGGTGAGCTAGAACCCATGTTGACGCGAAGACTACACTGAAACTGACAAGAGGCCGCTTTTATTTGCTTTTTTCTCGCCAGCAGTGTCCATGACCAGCGCCGAAATTCGGTACCGATCGACGCTGGTTGCCAGTAAGCAGGAAACCAGCTTCCACTGTGTTTAAATCGTGAGAGGGTACATTATGGTAAATATCAAGGCGTTGAAAGATGACCTTGACCGCTTTTATCAGTATTTTTTTTCAACAGGCAGCAGCGGTGGCCGCAGTAGTAGACTCTTCGGTCTCCTGATCAGTCGCCGTGCGCTGTGCGGGTTCGAGTCCCGTCCCAGGAGAAATTTTTCTCTTGGCTATGGATGTTGTGATTGTTCATAGGTGGTAGACGGTGTCTGACTGTTGAACGTGGAGGTACCACCCGGCGGATCTCGTAGGCGGAGCCAGAATGTGTGCATGTTGCATGCACACGTGTTCCCTCGCCAGAGTCCGTGTGGCGTCCCCCCCTTTCCCCTGTATCCCCCTATAGCCCCACCGTACCTAATGGATGTTTAGGCCTTAGGTCTTCGTGGTAGTTGGAGTATAAAAAAAACATCTGTCAACTACATTCCTGTTACTGTGTTGTTTACTTTTTGTTATCCCATATGGGGCATTGTTTGTATACCGATGCGATTAACTTCTTTATATCCATTATCCTCATCAACCTGCTCTGACAGCCGGTGTGAGGGAACTAAATAATTGTTCCGGAAAACCCGGTATTTCCGACTGCCTGTGCCGACAAGCCTGAGCCTGTCTCTATTGTGTTATCGCCAACTCAAGAGGATATTATTACAAAAGCCGATCGCGGCTGGTTGCCGGTAAACAGGAATCCGGCTTCCACTGTGTTTTCGCCCTGAGACTGTAAGTCATCAACAAAGCTTCTGACCCGGACTTGAATCCTGCCCTTGGATTGAGAGGTATGCAGTGCAGCCGGCTCCCGTTCTTTCGCGTCTCTTCCAGATATCTCACGAAACCGACACCTTTCCAGAAAACTGGAAATTTGCTCATTTCACACCTATCCCAAGAATCGTCGTGATTGGCGGGTTCTCCTCTTCATCCCACAATCAACTGATCAACGACCTCCTTTCCTCACCCGCCGCGCGATGTGTCTGCCTGACTTCGGCCTCCCATCATCACCGTGTCGAACTTCGTACATCCAGAACTGGCCGATTCAACCGCTCCAATATTCCTAGAGTATCGACAAAATGAAATGCTCTACCTGAGGAGGCCTTTTCCAGTTCTTCTAACTTCGGGCAGTTCAAAAATCGGAATAACAAATTTTCTTTAAGCTCCTCATAACAGCCGCGGTGCCGCGGTATTTAGGCTTCTGCCAGAGGAGGCCTTTTCCAGTTCTTCTAACTTCGGGCAGTTCAAAAATCGGAATAACAAATTTTCTTTAAGCTCCTCATAACAGCCGCGGTGCCGCGGTATTTAGGCTTCTGCCTGCGAGGCTGCTTCTGTATAAAAGATATGCTGCTTTCGTCCATCCGACTAACCATGAACAGCTGTTTCGTGCTTTTTGGCAACTCACCATCATGATCCAGGCTTGGTCTCTGGGACAAGGAACCGAAATCAACTATCCTTTATCCAGGGCATAAGCTAGGCTATCAAACGCGAGCTGGGATCTTGAAAATTCCAGCCGATCTGAGTTATAATGCACTCTCGCAATGGTTGATTCTGGTCATGGATGGCGCTTTGCGTTGTCTTATTCCGATGCTTGCTTATTATGTGGACAATAAGTTCAAAGTATATTAATTAAATGCTTATTTTATAAATTGTCGAGAAGTTCACTCACATAAGATAAATAATGCCGCCCTATTCCATATCAGAAATCAAGAACACTTATGCATGACTTTATTATGGTGTTTTAATTTATAGTAACACTACTCCTCCACCCGCTGTAAAAAGGCCTAGATCTGCACTTAGTTCTGCTTCACCAATAGAGTAAGTATACACTGATTTTGCATGATGTGCATGATAGACACCGCATACATTTTTTGTTATGGATATTGAACAAGATACACATTTGTAGATAGGTACCATGTTTGTAAATTAAGTGATTTTTAATTTTTTTTTTATCATATAAATTTCAAAATTTTAAATCTTATATTGTTACCCTCAAAATAACTTCCTTATCAATCCACACGGCGCTGGAGACACTGAAATAGCCTTTAGTTGGTCGGTTACAGTCATTTGAATGTTTCGACTGTCCCAACCTTTCAAATTCGGGAAAAGAAAAAGATACAAGGACTCAAATCAGGCGTATAAGAAATAGTTTGTGTTGCACTGTACCCAAGTCTGCAGCAAAACCTGATTACACACCGTTACTTGAAATTGGTGTCACACTTTTTAGATCACAAAAAAACTGCTACGAACAGCCCAATGACTCGAGCGAGTTCAAACTTGTCCTAAAGGCGGATCACACGTCCAAGCCCGGCGCTTCCAGTGTTGCCAGATCGTTTCATCACTTAACTTACAGACCTCGTAGCCTAATATTAAACATTTGTTGTATGTTAGTTATGCGTTATCATATACATTTTTCCAGACGACGAGTTCGAAACCGGTCTTCAACTGGAAGCGTATCGAAGATCGGAAATCTAGAAAACAGCATAAACAGTTCCCTCAGTGACCTTAGTGCGGCGACTCTGCCTCCCAACAGCAAAACAATAGGTGAGTTATTTAATTTATTCGTATTCGCCAGGAGCGATGTGCATGTGGGGGGGGGGGAGATTAATAATCGTGACGCACGCGGGCCTGGGGCCTAATGATAGAATCTGGCCAGGTTTCTATGGCAAAATATGTGTCGTGTGGAGTCAACAGAAGCCTTAAACGGTGCAGATATTTCGTTGTTAGATCAAAAAGGGAGTGTCAGTTTGAAATTCAAATTGAAACTAATAAGACCAAGCTGTCTAGCCAAAAATTGAACCAGTGTCTGAAAAAATTGTAATAAACGGCATTATAAGAGAAGTATATTCTGGAGGGTATATGACGAGAGATACAAGAAATTTTGCTGGATAACTTTTTTTATTAAGCGTCAATTGGAATGAATTATATCAATATTTGTACTGGATAAAAATATCTTTAAATTTGCCGTAACTGTTAATTTACTACAAAAATAACGTCAGAAATCGTACATTTTTTGTTTGGTATGATCCAATAAACCTTTGGAGCGAAAAATGTTTTTTTTTATAATTTATTCAAACTAGTTTGCACCAGGCCTCCGCCCGGCTACCTCTTGATTCATATTAAAGGGCATATAGTAATAATTATGAAAATAGTGTGCCCGTCGCTGGAAAATGTCTCCCATAATTGCGAGATTTCCGCCTCTTCTATATAGAAGATGATACATCTGAACAATCTTGGTTTCCAATAAAAAAAATTCCCGGCTTTTCCTGAATAGCAACCACTAGATTTGTCGTTTCTTGCGTTGCTTCCTCTAAAGTTTTGAAAGTAGTTGTAAAAAGCTTTGTAGCAATTAAACTGCTATTATTCCTAATATTATGGTGGAATATAACATTGCATGGAAAATAATGCCCAACACCTACAATAATCTGCATATCGGTTAACGTTGACCACCCTGTAAGACGAAAGAAGCACAGCAGTCCATTATTTCTGATTCACGATTATTTTGATCGTTAACGAATAACACCAGTTAGCAGCATCTCAAAACAGATATTTTCCAAGAAAACGACCTGTGATATATTTAAAAGGCCCAGATACTTGATGAGGTGCAGTGTCAACGATTTGTCATGTACACGACACTCTACTCGAAATATAGAACTGCGAGAAACGATACGATACTTTTGGAAAAATCGAAACACAACATGTGTAGACTTCTGATTTTTAGTATCTAACTGTGTATAATGGCAATTTGTTTGTAATCTGGCAAAAAAGCGCCGAAATGTCATCTTGCGGCTAGGGAGTTCTTAGTACAAATAGTTCATTTCACGTTTGCCTGCTGTTCACTGTTTAAGCAACACTTACAGCTAGCTATAAAACGAGTTCACTACAAGCGTACAACAGTGCTAACATCTTGTAGAAAAATTTACGAAATCGCAAAAAACAACGAAATGTCAAAAAAAAAACACAAGGAAATGTCTCTTTTCAAGATACTTAAATCCCGTACGGCAGGCGGCTAGTTACACACACATATCCTTAATTTAATCAACTCTTGAGAGATCATTATTCGCAATCTTATATCGATGTTCAGTTATTTGATTTTTTCTTTAAAATGTTAGAATTTTGCATTTACATGCATTCAAGTACAGCTACCAACCATGGATAGAATCAAAGTTCTGCTGTACTGGGTGCGCCATCTATTACTTTTTTTACCCATAAGTTTATGTGTTACCATGCGAGTCAAAAGTCATGTCGTATGCAGAAATGAACTGTCAAAGGTATGCCATTTATAGTCATGGATTCGTTTACAACACATCAACGCATTTTGGTTATCCAAACTTATTACGAAGACGGTCGAAATATAAAAAGTACTTTTGCACCAGTTTTGGCCGACATGGAGCCTGGAATTCATTGGATTGTTAATCGTTTCGAGGAAACTGGTTCAGCTGAAGGTCGTGGATCATACCAACATGCTCGTCCAGCTCGTACTCGTGAAAACATAGCCGCAGTGAGTGAAAGTGTGCGAGAAGATCCAACCACCTCGAATAGGTACCGTTGGCAACAACTGGGAGTTAGTGAGACCACCTTACGCCAGACTTTACACATTGATTTATACCTTCATCCATACAAAATCCAACTAACACAAGAATTGAATCCGGCAGACCATCAACAGCGGCGTGTTTTTGTTAAAAGGATGCTGGAAACAGAAGACGGATTTTCGGCCTCTTTTCTCTTTTCTGATGAGGCTCATTTTCAGCTCAATGGGTACGTAGATAAGCAAAATTGCAGATTCTGGGGGGCTGAAATGAACAACCTCTCCATCCTGAACAAGTGACTAGTGCAGATTATGGGCTGGTGGCATCGTTGGACCATTCTGCTTTGAAGTTGCCAAAGAAAAGACCATTACCGTCAACGGGGAACGTTATCGCGGCATGTTAACAGACTGTATGTGGCCACAATTGGATCGTACTGGTACCGACAATCTTTGGTTTCATCAAGACGGAGTAACGGCTCACACATCTCGCCGAACAATCGCCTTATTGCACACGAAATTTCAAGACCAAAAATTTCACGAAATTCAGATGTCAGTTGGCCCCCGAGATCGTGTGATTTAACACCTCTTGACTATTTTCTTTGGGGATTTTTGAAAGGAAAAGTGTATGCGAATGGTCCCCGGACAGTTCAAGACCTAAAGCGCAATATTCGGACTGAAATTGCGGCCATAGACCCGATTACCTGGGAAAAGTCATTGAAAAGTTTGATGTTCAGATGTTGGCCTGTACACGAAGCCGCGGTGGTCACATGACTGATGTTATTTTTCATACATAAATGGCATAAACCAACCTTCATTTATCAATAAAAAAATTCGATTTCATCTCGTAAAAAGCGTGTTGATTTCTCAAATAGAAAAAAATTAATAGATGACGCACCCTGTAGAATACGGCAATCTGAGATGTCATCAATTGCTATGAAGATTTTTAGTTGCAAGTTGCAAGACAGATCGTTTATCGCTAGTAAGAATAGAATCTATGAGACAATAAACACACACATTTTCATACTGAATTCGATTTTGTGTTCTGCTATCGTCGCGTAGATGCAGGCTATCTTCGGTAGAATTACGTTAATTAATGCACAAACATAAACGTCGCGTTATACCAATATTACCCATTGTAAGCTGCATTAATGTATGCATACATGTTTATGTTTTGTTATAAGCGTTTCCACGGAATCTCAGAAATGTAATTCACGTCTTGCTACTGCACCAACCGGCATACATACTGTCGACCGGATACAAAGTAGGTAGAAAACGGCAGGAGAACCTCTCGGAAGGACATACTGCGATGTGTCTGTCATAAATAAGTAGATAAACAGCGGTGATAGGCTGAAGATACGCGGGTCTCTAGCGGCACGAAGCAACTGTTTCTTGAATATTAAATATGACTGAAATAGAAAGAGATTCTCCACTCAGGAAGGTCTAGGGTCGTAGAGTCTATTGCACAATCTTCAGTTAGCTTTTAGATGACAGTTGACAGTTTGAATGCAAGACGTTACTAAGCAGATACAAGAAGAAGAATGAGATCACGGGATTCAAATCGTGGTCGTCTTAGTATTATTTAATTAATAATGATTAGTTGAATCCAATTACACATTTTTCAAATATTATTCAAATATGGTAAGGTTTCTTATATGCCGCTTTGCAAAGACATTTGAATAAGCACTTTATTACACTGTAAAGTGTCCTATTTTAATTCCGAAGTAATTGACGCGGAAGTGTTATAAATTTCGACAATGAGATGTAATATGATATTTACATCACGAAAAACCATGTCACTCATTTTCATCGGTCTGTCTGTCGGTATATCCGCTAATTATAGGTCCGTCGATATCTTGAAGGCACTGCTCGAATTTTGATGAAATTTCCCAAAGATGATACTACTTATGACAAGAATGAAAAAGTTTCTGAGCTTTTGAAAATTGGTCCAGATGCGGAGAAGCTAAGGGCAAAAAGCAAAAAAAAATATATGAATCGCTCAAACTTGGTCTTTTACTTTTCAAAGGATCATCAGAAATATTTTTGTTGGGGTTAAAAATTGGGGGATGGTGGGTGTAGGGGTGGGGGAGGATATATCTCAATTTTTGTTAGTATATTTATATACTTACAACCCCGGTAATTCTACGCAATTAAACATGTTTCACACATCATATTACTTTTGACCTCAAGACTTAGAATGAGAAATGATTTCCACAGATAATGCATACAGGGTGGCGCATCGAAAACAAAACAGACGCATTTACTAGCAGCTCAGTTTTTTTTTTTTAAACGCTCAAACCCGTCGATTTTGTTTTCGAGGGGGACACAATTTTGGCAAAAAATCACGTTAGCACGTGCAGCCTACTAAGCGGGGTTGGCACCACCCCCAAAATCTTAAATGGAAAGGGGGGTCGAGTGATACCTTATGTTAAAGGTCTTTCAATTCGCTTTATAATGATAAAAGATTAACGTATTGCAGTTCAGTAGTTTTAAAGATTTATTGATTTAAAGCTTAAATAAAACTAATACATCATCATTAGTGGAAATCAATACATTTGGCAGCAAAGTAATTTAAAAATGAAGAATGAACTGACCCGTTAAGCAAGTAAATGTTGAAAATGGCCACCATGACTCTCCAAGCAATAGTAAAGATTTTGCTCAAAACGTTGCCACACATTTTGAAATATTTGAGGAGTAATTTGAAGGCACTCATTCACAATTCTTTGTCGCAAGTCTTCTAATGATGTTGGCTGAGTAGCATAGATTTTGCTTTTTAAATGACCCCACATAAAGAAATCCAAAGGTGATAAATCTTGCGATCTTGGGGGCCATTCAATGGCACCTCTTCTACCAATTCCTCGATCTGGAAACGTCTGATCTAAATATTGTCGAATACGTAATGCGTGATGTGGTGGGGCACCATCTTGTTGGAACATCAACCTATTCGCAATGTACCGCCGATCATTCTGATTTTCAATTATGGCTGTTAATGCAGGATATATGGCGTCTTTCAGTAATTCCAAATACATTTCACCGGTCAAATTTCTAGGTAAGAAAAAAGGACCAAATACCAGCCCAAACATTTAATTTTTGTGGCTGCTGTGTATGAACCTCATGATAAAATCTGGAATTAGAATCGGACCAATATCGGCAGTTATGACGATTTACTACGCCATTTAAGAAAAAGGAACATTCGTCGGAAAAGCAAGTGTTGAATAGAAAATGTTCGTCGTTTATAATTCGTTCACTCATATCTTCACAAAATTGTAATCGCCGATCAAAATCGTCTTCATTAGGTTCTTGTACCAGGTGAATTTTATACGGATGAAAACTATGGACCTTTAGAATCCGTCGACTAACACCACACACAGTCTCCAATTTGCGGGTACTTAACGAAGGATCTACGTAAACTTGCCCTAAAACCCCCACTTCTAATGCTTCGTTCTTTATGGGATTTTCAATGTTGCGTTTTTTATTGGTGAATGACCCAGTTTCCCGAAATTTAGCTACAAGTTCTAGAACATATTTTCGATGCACGTTACTGTTCTCATGTCGCGCATTAAATATTTCTGCTGTTCTATTAGCGCACTGATTATTTCCGAAAAATATTTCGATAACTTCAACTCTTTCTGCTGTGGAATATACCATGGTTAATTTATGTAATAAAGCGTTACAAGTTATTTTAGCAACAAAGTTTGGTCAAATCAGTCGCAAACTATGTACTAAATTCCTATTTAAAATAAGTACGAGATATTTCCTTATCTTTCTTCAACAAATAACTTTTTTGCCACCAAAAAACGCTCCAATAGATATTTTCAACAACAAAATGATAAACAAACCATGGGCGTAGTAAATTCTTTTAGTCAAATATCTTCTGAAAGTGGTACAAACTAATCTGATGTATCTATTAAAATCTACTTTAAGCTTTAAATCAATAAATCTTCAAAACTACTGAACTGAAGTACATTAATTTTATATCATTATAAAGGAAATTGAAAGACCTTTAAAATAAGGTATCACTCGACCCCCCTTTCCGTTTAAGATTTAAGGGTTGGTGTCACCCCCGCCCAGGGGGCTGCACGTGTTAACGTGATTTTTTGCCAAACTTGTGTTCCCCTCAAAAACAAAATCGACGGGTCTGAGCGTTTTTCAAAAAAAAAACGGAGCTGCCAGTAAATGCGTCTGTTTCGTTTTCGAAGCGCCACCCTGTATAATACCTGGGTGCATGTATGCACCTATTTGCATTGAATTTTGTTGTGGGAGCTCACAAAATACATGCAGGAGTATTTAAAAAAAATTCTATTCAAAATACGGTCTTGCAGCATCTCGAAAACAAATTTTGCTTATATGCATTTTCAGAATAATGTTCAAAATTCTTGAATGTCGACCTAAACCCGCATCCTGGGTAAGCTGGGTACGTAGATGAAATCTGTTGACAGTTTCTAAGGATATTATAGAAGAAGTTTCAATATTTCTTTCGTATTTGCAATCTGAATCACAATATGTTGAAAATAGAAATTGATAATTGTTGAAATTCTTGTTTGCCACTTTTATAGTTCCTTGAACCAATTCGTCGGGGTTATTCAAGTCAGTCGCATGACAGAAAAGTAACTACTACTCAAAACATTGATATTATATATTAAATCACAAATACATCATGTGTATAGTACTTCTTGTATATCAGTAAAGAATATTACATCGACAACATGACAATATAGTTTTTCACGAGAAAAGTCCTCATTCACTTTTTCAGCTTCAATTGCCGTTCAATATCAGCTACATACTTTTCAGGAATATTCATATCCTTCAAACCTTTCACCTTGTTTTTAAGGTACTCTTCCACATTCCTATCACGAATTTCAATCTCCAATCTCTGCGCTGTACCGTCTTCAAACTTCTCCTGTTGATAATAGATTCTTTCCCTTTCCTTTTCATTGATTTGCTTCAACAGTTCCTTTCTATGATTCTCTATCTGCGCTTTCTTCTTTCTCTGCTTCTCCTTGTCTTTCTCATGAAGTTCTTTCTGCACTGTCGCAACCTTCTTGAAATCCTCTTCGTCTCTTGCCAAAGCAACGGCTTGGGCCTTTCTGATATCCTCGATTTGCTGTCTTCGAGCCACTCTAAGATCATCCAATGCTTGCTGTCTCTTCCGTGCTTTGGCTTTCTCTTGCTCCCTCCATTCTCTCTCCTTTTCTTCTTGCCATCTCATGGCGTTCAACTCATCCATCATAGCTTGAGAATCCATGGCTTTCTCTTGAGCTGCTCTCATCGCAGCTATTTCCTTCTCTTTTTGAACCTTGATAGCTTCTTGCTCTTTTTCTCTAGCCTCTTCCCTTTCTTGCTTTTCTCTCATGAACTTTTCTATTCTCATGGCTGCGATCTTGTTCTCTTCTTCTCTTAGTTTCTTGTAATGTTGAACTTCAGCGTCAGCCTTCGCGAATTCCTTTCTGATTTTCTGTTGTGCTTCGTATCTCCTCTTCTGCTTTTCCTCTTCTTCTTTCTGTAGAGCTATCAAGGCTCTGTTCAACATCTTGCTTTCTTCTTCAATCTTCTCAGCCTCAAGAAGCCTACCGATCTCGTTCTCTTTGATTTGACGCGTAACTTCAGAAACATACTGTTTTTTCTTTTTTTCTTCTTCCTCTCTTTTCTTTTCTTCGATAGACATGAGCTTCTGCCTTCGTTGCTCCATCATCATGTCCAGTCTCATCTCTTCTTCTCGTAACTGTCTTGCTATTAGTTCTTTCTCTTCAATCTGAGCACGTCTAATAGCTCTACACTTGGTTGCTAAGATCACCCTGTTAGCATTTTTTACTCTATCATCTTGCTCTATAAGTAACTCTTTAGACCGATTCAAGAGGTATAGATTCTTGTCAGCAGCCTGCGTTTCTGCAGTATCTAACTTGCTTCCAGGTGCAGCTTTCTGGATCTTCTGCGCCTTATGCAAAGCTTCTTTTCTCTTTACGCTCTCCATTTGCAACTTACTTTTTTCTCGTTCAGCTGCTTCGAGCATTGCTATTTTGTCTTGTAGTGTGATCACAGTGGATTGTTTTTTCAAACGATCAAATTCTCTGTCTGGTACAACTACTGGCCTGTCTATGGGTGATCTGTTTGGTATTATCAGTTCTCTCTGGCCTGATTGGTCGTACAGTTTCACCACAGGCTTACCCTCTGTGGCTTTTTGGGGCCTGTTGTGGATGTATTGGCCATTCACCTTCTGGGGGCATTGTTCTATACTGAAAAGGGAAAAGACCGTATCAGGTTTATGTTAAGCTAAAGGAAGGTGATTCGATATGTCCTTGGGGATTTTGTGTCTAAAAAAATTAGTGATGTAATGTCTGCCATTTCTAGGATTTTAGACTAATAGAAATTTTCTGTTTTCTCTGCATCAAAAGCGCAATTTCTAAAATTCTATTGAAACAATGACGCTTACCTGTGATGACCACCCTGTTTAAAAGGTTTCGTACGGGAATGAAACTTTCCTGTTGTAGTTGGAGGCATTTTCTCAAAGGTGTTCCAGTTTGGATGCAAAGAAGTAGTTCAAAAATGTTATTACAACTGACAAAAACGTGTCAGTGTCATTATGATGTCAAGAGTTCATCTCTGACTTCTTCTTCTGTTCTTTCATCTTCGTCATCGATAGATAGATGATTTTTTTTAGTTTCTTCCTTTGGCTTCAGTGTGCAATATTGCTTCTGTCTCTATGAGCTCTTAAACCAAATGTAATGTAAGGTTTTTCGGACTAAATTTGGTTCAGATTATCGAAATATACCTTCAGCTTACGAAACTCGTCGCAGACTATGCCCCAATGTTCGGTGTCTGCCGTTTTATAAAGTTTTGTTTGATCGATACCGAATTGTTCTGGATGTGGAGTTACCAAGTTGCGACATTACTAAATAGGCTACAATGTGCAGGGGTGGTCTAGGTATTCGAATGCTAGATGCAGTAAATTCCAGAGATGCCAGCAAATGCCTGAAATTCTGCCTTAAATAGCTCCAAACATGTGTCAGTCACGGCAATATAAGTTTATTCCCTATACTCTGTCCCAGCCTTCAAAAATCTTAACTATGTTTTTAAACTACTTCAGAATATCAATAAAATGATTGAATGACATGATAGAATGATTTGAATCATTATGTTTATTATAATCAATAATTATAAATGAAACCTACCTATTATTTTCTATTCTTTTTTTTTCGGTATAATCGGATTTGCAAAAAATTCGGACTTTTTGCGGTCTTATTTGAATGTAACCTGGAATGGAATCTGTGTTAAAGTCTAGCATCCATCCTCAGCTTCAAAAGAGGATTCAAAAAAATGCTGCTACCGCAGCAAAATAAAACAGGTGTTCTGCAAATCCGAACCTACCTATTTTTTATATGTCAGTTCGATCCCGCGCTCCTTCTTGGCAGCAAATTTGTCGATCTCCTTCCCGTTGAAATTCTCCATGGTCGAAATAAATTCCTTTTCAATGGACAGCATCGACAACGCTGTAAGGCGATCCTGGGTCATAGTATTTCGAAGAAAAGTCTTGATTCTTTTCAATGTTGAGAAATTTCGCTCAGCCTCTGATGTTGACATAGGAGTTGTAACAATAATATCTAATAGCTTTTTTGTTTCTTTTAGTGTTTCCTCCGTGCATAAATAACAGACAACTCTGTCTTTAAACGACCTTTTTCTAATTCGGGATAAGCCAAGCAGGTAGTTTCCAACTTGTAATCAGGAAACTTACCACGGTATTCTCCCAAAAAGGGATGCGGCTACCAGAATTCACTATATTGTCGCATACTTCCAATGCGGCAGCTCGGTGATCGTGACTGCTATTATTACGTCGTCTCCTTTTGTTTTTTTTTATACTAAAACTACCATGAAGACCTAAGGCCTAAGCACCCATTGGGTGCCTTGGGGTTCAGTGCAAATAACTTTTGGCTTCATTTAGTATGTCATCAATTTTATTTCTCACATCGACAATACATTTTTCAAAATTATCGATAGCCGTTTTAACTTGTGCTGGCTCGGTTTTTGTCTTCTGCAACTGGTTGAACAAGATGCCGACGTAAGGCATGACATGATGAAAAAATATCAACCAAAACATGAAAACAGAATCGTTTAACATACGACGAATACCGCAAGCTGCCTTGCAAACGGTTTCATTAGTGAAATTTTCTTCTATTTCTTCCATGCATTCAATGGGTGATTCTCTGTTCTCAAACATTACATTTATTAAAAAATCCCGGAATATCTTTCAAATCCCCAAAGAACACCCGAACTTGAGCATTTGCGGAAGCAGTTTGGGACATAATCAGGTTTAACTGATGCGCATAGCAATGCACATAGTGAGCAAATGGATGTCTTTGTTTAATTTTTTGCCTGTACTCCAGCATTATATCCGCTCATTACCGCGGCACCATCATAGCTTTGTGCAATCAGTTTGTTAGGGAAATTTCCTATCAATGGATCTACGACGCTCAAAATATGTCTTGTTAGAGTGTCAGCGTCACATTCTTCGGGATTCATATAATTCCAAAAACGTTCTACTGCTTCGCCGTTAAATACGTATCTGAAAATTGTTACCAGTTGGGTTTTCCCCAAAGTATCCGTTGTTTCATCTGCTAATATCGCCAAATTCGAGGCTCTGTTAATCTGTTTTATTATTTCTTCATGACAAACTTCAAGAATACAATCCAGTAGATCGTTTTGTATTTCGTTCGAAGTTCCTTTAAATATTGAAGCATTTTTTATGTGTTCGCTTAAGGTTGTATCAAGCTCAGCAAAAAAATTAATCAGTCCACGAAATACTCCCGGGTTTTGGGAGCTCTCGGTTTCGTCATCGCCTCGTAGCGCCAATTCAAATGCTCCCCAAAATTTTATACAATCGATTATTTTTGATGGAACGTACTTTTTTTGTAACGGTATCATTATGCTGTTGTATGTTTCTCCAATATGCTGAATCTAAGTGAGCTCTGATGTTAACAGTTCCCAATAAAGCCAATTTCATCGAATTTGGAAGATGTGTTTTAGGGTTCTCATGCTTCTTAATTTTTTCACTCAGGTGCACTAAATCTGTAACACCTACCTCCGTCCAAGCTTTGCCGCCGCCGAAAAGTATGCAAGGAAAGCAGAAAAGGGCATTCTTCCTGTTGCACCCACAAATCCAGTCATTTCTGGTGTAAATAGCAGCTACCGTTACAATTTACTGAATCTACAAGTAGTTGAATACATTTGATTCATACTATTATGATCTAAAATTCAGTATATATCACTTACATGTTCTTATACAGGGTGTTTCAGTTTATTGTTGCATAACTTTAAGATTCGATAGAACTTTAAAAGAAAATTAATGCATAAAGTCTATATAAACATGGGTCAAAAAATGCGTGGCTTCCGAAATACAGGGTGTTTAGATTTACTTTCTAAAATAGTTTTTTTTTAAATATTTCGAACAATATTTGATGTATAACAGTGAAAATTGGTATACAAGGATTTTTTGGTACGATAAAACGAACCATGGGCATAGTTTTACTGTAGCCGCTAGAGGGCGCTCTCTACTACCTGTAGTGTATTAAAATGACCGAAAAATTTTTCTTAGTGCAATTTTTTGCTTTTTGAATAAAAAAACCAATTCTTCGCACTTTTTAACATAAAAAAGCTCGTTATAGTTAGCCGTTTTTGAGGTTCGATGCATTTTTAATTATTTATTGGGAAAATAATATTTTTTTTTTACATTTTCGATTTGGACATTACAAGTAATTAAGATGATTGTTTAGATTGTGTTTTTAAACACAGCAATAATTCCTAACTCCAAATAAACACAAAAAACAGAATATTCGTTTGTTTAATTTTCCAATATTATTTTTAACAAATTAAATTAATTATTTACAACTAAAATGCTATTGGATAGTTAGGACAAACATTCAAAATCTAAAGTAGTTGCTCGAAATGTAAACCCAATTGTTCAATACATAATTCACATCTACGAATGATCGAACGTGGTATAGCATAATTCAAATAAGGCCTTATTTCATCACATGCATTCCTGATTCTGTCTATTAGCATATCTCTTGTGGTTACGGGAATCTGGTACACTTTTTCCTTAAGAAGTCCCCACACAAAGAAATCTAATGGATTTAGGTCAGGGGATCGTGGAGGCCAGGCGACTGGTCCTCCACGGCCGATCCATCATTCTGGATAATTTTCGTCCAGCCAGTTTCTAACTATTCTCGAATAATGAGCTGGCCAACCATCAAGCTGGAACCGGGCAAATCTTCTTAAATCTAACATAACATCATCCCACATATTTGTATGTTCAGCCTTTAAAAATTCCAAGAAGGTCGCAGCATTTAACCTTGCAGGCAAAAGGTAGGGTCCAAATAGTCGATTACGGTAGATACCACGTTCACACTAAATTCATGCTGAACATTTCTTTCCCGAACTGCATGCGGATTTTCATGCGACCAAATATGTTGATGATGAAAATTCACCACTCCACGTCTAGTGAAGCAGACTCATCGGTCCATAAAACGTTACTTAAAAACTCCCTATTATTATCAGTTCTATTAAGAATCCACTGACAAAATGTGATTCTTCGTTCTCCGTCCCCTGGCTGTAGTCCTTGCACAGGTTGCAAATGGTAAGGACGTCTATGTTCATTTCTAAGAACACGGTGAACATGGCTTGCTGAAATTCTCAAGGTACCAGAAACTCTCCTAACACTTGTGGTCGGATCTCTATCAAACTCGCGCAGAATCATACGGGTAAATCTGCGCTGACGAACATTTATGTTTTGATCCCTTTGGAGATTTCCAAAACCATTTTCAATTATTTGGCGATGCACTCTTACAAATACTGAGCGAGTTGGATGTCGTCTGTTTGGAAATCTTCGTGCGTATTCTCTGGCTGCTTCTGCTGTGTTTCCATTTACAAAGCCATACACAAAATGAATATCCGCTAACTCTTGATTGGAGAATAAAAATGGCATTTTTATAAAACTTACAAAAAAAACAGGTAAAAGAAACTAAATTTCGTGCATTCACAATTGCAAAAAAACGTTTCAGGTTTCAACAGACAACAAAACTGACTGTCAACTAACTGACGTTTAACCTTATTCTGCTTTCAATTTCAAAAATATTTGCAGGCACAGCCTACTTCTAAAAATTATCGAGATACTGACTTTTTAACGTTATTTTATCATAAATAATTAAAAATGCATCGAAAGTAAATTTAAACACCCTGTATTTCGGAAGCCACGCATTTTTCGACCCATGTTTATATAGACCTTATGCATTATATATATTATACTGCACATTTTGAATGATTTTATTCACATAAGTTGCACAGGCGGTGGTGAAAAATGGCTATGCCAATCCCCAGGTGTTTAGGTTATTATTTTTTGTATATTATTATTTAGTAATATTTTTATTCTATTATGTATTAATACTCCAATACACATTATAATTATTATTATTATTAGTATTATTATCTGGACAAAACTAGAGAATATAAGCAGCTTTTCTGGCTTTGAAACGAGTTTCCAGTCCTGAGCCAACGTCATAGCGACTGAAAAAGTTAATATCCTGATATCAAATCAAATGTACGCTAAATGCGACCTCGTATTTTTG